ATCGCTAATAAATTTTTCATGGCCTTCATTTTAAGATTTATTATGAATTAGAATTCGATATTACTATATTTATACCACAATCATGATGTTGTGGGAAATATCATTGAGCCATCGAGAAAGACAAACAGACACTTAATCCATACTTCTGCTCTTCAGATTCTGTACTTTCTTGAGTCTGAAGAAATCTTCGCGATCTTGCTCATCAAGTTCGGAGTTTATGTAGCTTATTGTGGTTTCTAATCTTGGCACGATGCTAAACTCCAATGCATTAACTCGTCTATTTGTGCTCATCAGTACATGATCCAAGATTTTGAACGAATTCTTCAGTGCGCATAGATCAACCAGCATCTCCAGTACCTCTATGAAGCTTGCTCTGCATTCATTCAATGATTGCCCACTCCTGTCAAGAAATAAAATCGGCTTGATGTTTTCCTTCTTAAGATCAAATAAAGGTAAGCTCACCCCAGAAACCTGCTCCACTTTCGTCACTACAGAAAGACTTTGCTTCTGGCATTCATGTATAAACATTTTGAGATTGGCGCCCAGAAACTCTGCTTCAGTAAGTTTGAAGAATGCATCTCTGATTTTCTGGTTTATCTGCGATTCCTTTTCCCTGTATTCTTCTTCTATTGCCTTGTACCTTGTTTTCAATGCATCACTTTTTCTTTTAAGCAGAGAATATCCCCTTTCTGCGCTCTTGTGCTTGGTTTCCATCGCTCTTAAATTCATTCGTGTTGGAAACACTGCAATTCTTTGGCTCATTGTTTGTGGTGGGTATACTTCTTATATCAAATAGGCAGCAGAATACATGTTTAGAAATATATTTAATCTGATACAAACAAGATGCATCATTTGTTCATCCATACTGCATAAATCATCACTTGCCGAGCACTATCTCCCCACTGAATATGCGATCCATGTCGTATATAACTCTTTCATCCTTAATACTTGGCTGGATAAACCTTGGAACTCGGTCATCGTCTGTCCCATCAAGCATTTCTAGCATGAAACAATCAACTCTGTCAAGGAATCTTCTAAAATCTTCTATTGACTTGTCAATCTTCTTGATTTCATCCTCATGCTTGTTGTTGAAATGATTGAATATGAACATTTCCTCCTTAAATCCTTTCCCGCAAAACTCACACTTGTAATGATTTTCTTCTACCATAGTTATCATTTTATTAAGCTCTTCTTCTTTTGTCTTTATCTTGAGATCTCCAAGTCCTTGATATTCTACAAGAAACTCTCTTCTTCGGATTGAAGCTTCTGTAGACTTGTGATTTCTGCATCCCATCATCATCTCAAGAGGATCGTCATATTGATGCGCACATGTATAGCAATAAAGAAAAACATCTTTAAGCGCATTACAGAAAAACTCAGCTGTACTTGTCTGCGCCATGCTTCCTTGAGTTTGAATGTTTGCTATATATGTTTTCAGAACTTCATCCTCGTCAATTTTGAAAATTTTGCATAATGAGCTGAACATTGACTTGGCAGTGCCATAATCACTGTCTGTACATGAAATAACAGGCTCTTCAACGTCAGAAACATCAAACGGCTCAAACTGAATATTCGGATTTCCTTCCACAACAGACTTCATAAGTTGTATTGAGTCATATATATCCGATCCCTTCTTCAATAGAATGTAGCACATCCTTGATAATCTGTTCTGGCAGCTTTGCTGCTGAATCCAAAGTCTTTCGATGCTTGAGCATCTCGAAGATATTGAGTGCATGATTGTGCCTGGAACATCTTCAGCTATGCCTTTGGCTATTATGCATATATCAGGCTTTTCAAACTTGTGTATGCTGCAAATCGATTTTTTTCTTTGCTCATAGAAAGAATCCAAGTATCTGTACACAAACCACTCTCTTGTGATGTTTCTATCGAAGACTTCTGGAACTCGTTTTCTGTAGTAGTTTGTTCGGTAATCATTGTATGATTGTGCTGGCAGAAGAGTAGCAAGCTCCCTTCTTGTGATTAGTTTTTGCTGCTTCAATAAGAAAAATATGTCGACCTTGTCAACAAGCATGTCTTTTGAATTCATTTGTGGGGATGTCATTGCGACTGTGGCTAAGTATTTATTGAAAATGTGTATTGCATATGCATGAGCATGTATCATATATGCAGGGACTGTAATTCAACAGCAAAGCAGTTGCAGTGCAGTTGGCAAAACAGTACGCCCCTGGAGAGACTCGAACTCTCGACCTTTCGGTTAACAGCCGAACGCGTTAACCACTGCGCTACAGAGGCCTAATCGACAAATCTTGAATACCTCACGTACACTTACTTAATACCTCACGTACACTTAGTAATACACTACCTAACACGCTATGTACTTGTACATATGACTGATCCTCAGGCACATATGCTTACCCTACACATCACATACACTAGGTGATACTTTGCAAACTGCATTCCTGACAACACCTTGTGCATACTATACACATCCATATGTGTACCATACATACCGCGCTTCATAAACACATCCATTGCTATCAATTATGCAGCTGCACTTTGATTCTGCCTTTCATCAAAACCTACAAAAATTGTCATTCGCTCTTGCCCCAATGGATACCCTTGAGAAAACCTCCAAAACTGCCAGGCTGGTGCCAAAGATCGCATCCGATAATCCACACGACATCGTGTTGTATGCAATCTCAACAGAAAAGGCCGCAAGATGCATGGAGCAGTTCAACACAATGGTCTTCTACGTCAAGAAGACATCAACTAAGCCGGAGATAAAAAAAGCAATCACAGAACTGTACTCTGCAAAGATAAAAAAGGTCAACACACTCATAAACAAGCATGGTAAGAAGGCATATGTCAGGTTTGCTGAGGATGGCCTTGCACTCGAGATCGCATCTAACATAGGCATAATCTGAATAAAACTATTTCGCTTTGCAACACAAATTTTATCTTATCTAATTCACACCGGATTTCGCTAAAACCAGCATATCATAAGCACAGCAATAATTTATATGCCACTTCTAGATAGGGCATGTGCATAGTAAAGCTATGACATAAGACTATTCACAATATCATCTGAACTGATCTTTGCTAAATCGGCATTCGATTGCCCCATTCCCAAAAACAAAACAGGTGCGTTCGAAGTAAAGGTCATATCCAATATTTGCCCAATCTTGTCATCAACCGTATCAACCTTGGTAAGCAAAATACTGTTGATTTCCATAGACTCATCTGCATCATGAACTGCCCTGTTGAACTCCTTCACATGATCAAGACTATCAGATCCAACCAATGCCTCACCTACATAAACAATATGGTTCGGCTTGTTAATTCTCATAAGCTTTGTCAATGACACCATTAGATTCTTCTTGTTATGCATCCTACCAGCTGTGTCAATCAATATAACATCATATCCCTCATGCTGAGCTTCTTGTATTGCACATCTTGCAACAGACGCATCATCCTTGCCATATCCTTTTTCATAAAACCCCACTGAATGCCCTCCTATCCTAAACCTCTCTACATGTGTTTTTAGCTGCTCAATTGCACCTGCTCTGAATGTATCGCATGCTGCAATATAAACTTTCAATTCATTCTGCAGTAACCAATAGCATATCTTTGCTAGCGATGTGCTTTTTCCAACCCCATTCACCCCAACAAAGCATATCGAAAACACTCCCTTGTGGCTCTTTATTCCATTCAACATCCTTTCATGGTCGACAGACGGAATCAACTTGCCTAGAACTCTTGCAAGCTTGTTCCTAAACATCTCTTCAGAAACATATTCTAGCCCGTCTTCGTTCAGCTCGAGCATCACACTCTCAACCAATGTATTTGTAATTTGATAACTCACGTTCTTTCCTATTAAATGTGTTGTCATCTTATCTTTCAGCTCATCCACTCTTATCTGATTCTTGAATAGCCCAAATGCCTTTTTAATTGCTGTTTTCTTGAAACTATCAACAAACGATCCCACGATGCTTGATGATTCCGAATAGTCAAGCTCGTCCTCTCTCCTTGCATCCTCACGCTTTACTTCTCTATCAATCTTCTTTTGGTATTTAGTGTTGGCTGCATTCGACTTCTCACTGCTAACACCCAGATATGCCTTAATTCTTTCATCAAGGCTTGGCTCCTTAGAAACACTCAGATACACCGTCGGGCCTTTTATCTCATACTCCATCAGATGATCTTTGACTTTTCTGAATCCACCAAGCTTTGAAATATCCAGCGAAATTATCATCTGATTCAAGTTATCAGGTCTGTTTCCTTCCTCATGAACAAGTAGGCCCTTCTTGTTGAACACACAAAAGTATCCCATTCAAGGGCTTGTATAGCACACTTTTATGCTAAAGCTTTCAACAAATACATCCCATGCCTCATAGATTCATAGCATTTCACTCACTACTATCTTTCTCAACCATCAATACAAATCCATTTGACTCAAACAGTCCATGCTCCACTACTCCACAGATGCTTTTGCACGAATCTATGAACTGCTTATCATACTCAACATCAACAATACAATTGCCTAGCTCAGTCATGACAGGGCCTATCTTTTTACTGTCCTCTCTCAAACTACACCTCAATCCCCTTTTGTTAATGATAGAAAGAACCCTGGGAAGAGACATCGGAATCACCTCAATTGGAACAAAACATCCATCAAAGGTCTGTCTATACTTATGTGGTTGAGCTATTATGACCGTTTGCTTCGATGCCGAGCAAATGATCTTTTCTTTCGTTAATGCGCCGCCAAGCCCTTTTATCAAATTTGCATCGCCATCAAAATAATCTGTACCATCTATGTACAAATCAATGTGTTCATGTACCAATGCAGTAGAAACCACAAGTCCGTTCCTACTCAGCAACAATGATGTAGAAATGCTAGAAGGAATATAAATCGCCGCTTCAGGCAATATATTTATATACTGCGCTATTGTTGTCCCTGTCCCAATACCTATTATCCTCTTGTCCTGAATAAGCTTGAGAATCTTTGTATCCACACCATTTTCCATGGCATGCATCCATCTCCAACAACAAATAGCATAAAAAGGAGAAATCCTCCAATTGCATTATACAAAATTTTATAACGCTGTAACTATCCCCTTCTAACTTGATCACAAGCAAACATGCATACACTAATCAATAGAGCATATGCTTCACACCATATATCACAAACATATGTTTATTTACTTAACAAACCTTTTTATCCTACGAATGACATCACTTCCTTCATTAATCACGCTTGAAACATCCATACTGCTACGTTCCTTCATCTCAATCACCCTTTCGATTCGGTCTATTCGACTCCACAACCTTTCTTCAATTATAAACTCCCCTAAATCCTTCTCAACATACTCCACACCCAATCCAAGTGCTTCTGCCATCTTCTCAATATGCATCGATCGATAGCTTTCAAGTATCTGCCCATATACCCTCAGCTTCATCTCACGGCAAAACATGTTCACATACTTCCCAACAAACACATCATCATTTATAATTCTGCAGAATGCACACAATTCCTTCATAAAATTCGAGTAGTGGCATTCATGTAGCGATCTAATAATCCTCATACCCTCTTCCTCGTTGTTGCCAACAACATCTGCATTCTGCAGAATCCGTTTCAGAAGATCAGGACGCTCAAATGTCAGTGCTCCACAGAAAATCACGTATCTTACTGCACGCCAATAATCCATTGCCTCATCAGCATCATAAGATGGCAATGAGTCACTCAGCATTATTCCTGCCTCATCAAACTTTCCACGCATCAAGCAAAGCAATCCGTTATATACCTTGAACCTGTTTCTTCTATCCCAATCACACCCCCTTTCGCATGCATCCATTGCTTCAACTGCACTCTCCTCAATTATTTTCTTGTTTCCCATGATGATCCCCATCCGGATTCTACACAAAAACACATCCATTCGGAACGACAGTGACACATCATCTCGCATTATTCTTGTGGTCCATTCAAACCCTTTCTTTATGTCCATTGTCTGACAGTAGAACTCCGCAATCTTGCGATCAATCTCCTTGATATGGCTTTCATTTTCTGCATCCCGCTGCTTTTCATTCTCAAGCTCTGCAACTTTTGTCTCCTTCATCTGTCTTAAAGACTCTAAACTCTGATTACTTGGATTCACAATTCCCTTTTCTGCAAGATGCACATACAGATCATACATACACTTGTCCATCATTTCCTTCTCCAGCAGCTCGCGTGCCCCATCCTTGCCAATCTTCGTCCTATGTATCAGGTCGTGTATAAACAATCTTGGCTCCCTGAAATCAAAGTCCATGGGTATTGTGTATGCACTTCTTTTATGCTTCATAAAATAATACATGCCTGTTAACACTGCACAGCTCACAAAATATACAATGCACAAACATCTATGCCGGCAAAACATAATGCTTTTGTCCGGGATCGAACCGGAGACCTCATCCGTGTGAAGGATGCGTGATAACCACTACACTACAAAAGCTCACATGTATCGATCTCCACATACATCATTATTCTGCTACTTCACCTCCACACATCATTCTTTGTTTCTACACATGCATTACTGCTTTTCCATTCAATTGCATTTCATCGGTATCGTCACTCATTCCTCATTATACAATCAAATCCATTCATATCTATCAATATCAAATGTCGCTCATCCCTACGATGGACCAGGACCTAAGAGAATACAAACACAACTTAGAAAACTTACACTCCATAAAACACAAAATCCAATGCTTTCTTTTGCTTGATTACGATCTTACATGTCTGGAAACTCAGGAATCTCTTGAATACATCCATCGGGAGCTTGTCAAAACTTACATTCATGAACATACAGAGCCATCCACTCTCCTCACAATAGATGCAGAAATGATAATAAACATATACAGATCAATCGATCTGGAAAACAGAAAAAAACTCATCTTGCTCATAGAAGATGCCTTGCTCCACTTCAAAAAAACAAAAACATCCATGAACACACTCAGGTCTAGCTTCAAAAATCTGCACAACCTTCTTCAGGAAGATCTTTTCTTCAAATTCATGGCAGAAATAGAAACAATCTCCTCCTTAATGGAGAGTACTCCATCCGATATAAAAAAATGCGGAGCAAAAAAATACGGATATCCACTGCTTCTACAGCATTCGCTCGTATCTCTTGCAACGCTTACTAATCAGGAGAAAATGCTTAGGAAGATTTGCTGCAAAGTTGCACTTGCCGTAAAGTTCGATATCTGCAAAAGCAATTTCCAAACAGACTTCTACAAGCAGATGCAAGATATCCTTAGCAACCTTGAGCATGTTCCTCAGAAGGATGAATCTCCCTTATCAATCCCTTTGGCAAGAAAGGTGACAAAAAGAGGAGGATTAAAAACCAGGCAAAGGCGGCAGGGAAGGATGCAGCATAAGAAAAAAAAAATTACAAGCATCAATGGCACTGACCATCCAAGTGGTGATATAGATTGATTTCCAATCCCATCATGCAGGATATCCTGGAATTCATAAAAAGCCATGCCAAAGGCGTCACAGAGCAAGAAATCACACAAAACTTCCCGCAGCTTTCAAAGATCGAAATTGCAAAGGAGCTGAACATATGTCTCAAACAACAGCAGATAAGCCTGTTCAGAGAAAATGGCGTTTTGCATTACAAGTCTCTGGCAATAAATGGCGATGATTATGAGCTGATGATATACAACCTTGTAAGCCAGAGTGGAGGCGAGGGCGTGTGGCTGAAGACAATAAAGGACAAGACAAACATGCCACATACTTTGATCGGAAAGGTTCTTCGGAGCATGGAGACAAAGAGAATCATCAAGTCAGTCAAGTGCCTCAAAAACAACAGGAAAATGTATGTTTTATACGATGAAACGCCGTCAGAGGAAATAACAGGAGGAACATGGTTCCATGATAACGACGTCGACTTCGAATGTGTATCCAAGATCCTTGAAGTAGTGCTGCTGTATCTGGAAAAAAACACTGTTTCTGAGGATGGGTTGACATTGCCTGAGTATGAAGCAAATCCAACACTAGATGATATCTTGGAATACATAAGGAAAATGAACATATTGTCAATTCCGTTGAAGCGGGGAGACCTCGAAGTGATTGCGGACATTCTTGTATTTGATGGAAAAGCGGAAAAGCTATGCTCTGAGACGATCAATAGATATCGAGTGATCAAATAAATCCATTTATAAGCAGTCTGTAGCACAGTATCTCTATCATGCCAGCTACTTGGCTTGCCTTAGAAGTCCATACTGAATCGAGACTAAAGCCAAGGCATTGCCCGTTTCCAAGAAGCTTTATGAAATTTTTACTTGTATTTCATAGACGTGTTATGGGGGTGGATGAATGCCGGGCTTGATGAGCAGAATGACTACTTTATGAGCATAAAATGCCACGAGCGGCCTATCATAGAAATCAGGTTCAATCACGACGCAGATCTTATCTACACAGCAGGCAAGGATTCAATTTCCACTCTTCTTCGCACAAATGGAGCAGTGCTTGGCGTGTATAAGGAGCACAAAGGATCAATCTTTTCGATTGCTATGGATATCAAAAGCACATCTCTGATGACAGGGAGCGCAGACCAAACGATCATACTTTGGGATGTTGTGACAGGAAAGGTCAGGTGCCAGGCATCTGTGGATGTGGTTGTCAAGGCGCTTGATTTCTGTAATGATGGGAATGTGTGCTTCATGTGCAATGACGACATTATGGGAGTAAGACCGCAGATATCATCATTCGATGTGAGAGAAGGCGTTGCAAATAAGGTGTTTGCACCATCATCTGTTCCAGGCAAAATATTGCTTGATTCGTCAGAGAATATAATAGTGTACTCGGACACATCAGGATATGTCAGTGCTGTCGATCTTCGAAAGGCTGAAATTGTCAAAAAGTCGAAGATACACTCATCAAAAATAAACGGAATGCGGGCAAGCAGATGCAGGAGCTTCTTTATCACAGCATCGATGGATTCGCAATCGAAAATAGTTGACTTTATTGATTTGTCTGTCCAGAAATCATTTGCATGCGAAGAGCCCGTGAATTGCGCTGTCGTTTTCAATACAAACGATAAGGCCATCTGTGTCGGAGGCATCAATGCAAGAGACGTCACCATAACAAAGGGAAAGTCCTCGTTTGACACAAACTTCTTCGATGTAGTTACCTGCGAAAAGATCGGATCGTATAGCACACACTTCGGAACAATAAACTCCGTAGATGTTCATCCAGGCGGAACAATGTACTGCTCGGGAGGAGAAGAGGGAACCATTTCCATCTTGGCATTTGCCCAGGACTTCTTCAAGGCAAACTTTACCTGCTTTGATTAAATATCATATGTCATTTAATGTATTCGTGATCATTTGGCCCGTTTCTTATTGTGATGCTTCCATCCGGGTGCCTGATTTCTTTTAATCCCGAAGGAAAAGTTTTTTCAATCTGCCCATTGGCAAACTCATAGGTTACAACCTTGGTTTTTGCATCGTAGAGATATCTGTATTGATTACTCTTCACAACATAAGTTGACCCATCTTTCAAGTAGTACCTAATCTTGTTCTGAATCTGGTCCTTATGAATCACTCTCTTCGCATCCAATATTCTTTTGTACTCGTCATTAAGCCGCCTGAGCTTATGTATTTCTTCCTTTAGAATGTCCACCACAGAAACCCTTTCGTCTCCATCCATTTGTCTCATCAGTGCATCAATAGAATCTATCTTTTCCTTTATGTTTTCTTGCATAAAAATCATCTATGCAATCACAATGGGTATTATGCCTGTCTCTTTACTCTTCGTATCACCAGTTTGCATAGGCACAAGCATCAAGCTAGACTTAGCCATTGCTTTCAACCACATACTCTACTTATCCACATCGTTCAGAAGCAATTTGTCTAGCACATAATACTCACAGGCATTCTATAGATTCATAACCTTATTACTTTATTCAATGTCTGCTCTCAACTATGCCATCAATCCGTAGAAGTTGTGAAACAGCCTCCACTGCAGACTTGATGCACTGGCTCTTAACTGCATACGGCTCAAGCACTACGCTTCTTGTATCAACAACCTCCCCGCTTATTCCATCCACGCCATAAAACGATCCTTCTTTTTGCTTCTGCTCTAAAACAGTAATCGCCTCCATCGGATTAAATGCGCCAGAGTTCTCAAGCAGTATCGAAGGAATAACGGCAAGTGCAGATGCCATCCTTGAAAACACCTCGGCCTCAGCCTCATCCCTTCCAATGCTCTCATTCAACGCCATCGCCATCGCCATCTCCATAGCCCCTCCTCCAGGACACAGCTTCGGACTCACAAATATGTTCTTTGCAACCTTCACTGCATCCATAAAATTCCTCTCAAGCTCGTTCAGAATATCCTTCGTAGGCCCTCTTATCAGCACACTGCATGCCTTTGGATTCACACACTTACTAAACTTGCAGTAGTACTCCTCCCCATACTTCACATACTCAAAACTTCCACAAAGCGTCCCAACATGCTTTTCATCAAGATCCTCTGCTCTGTTCACTATCCTGGCTCCACACACCTTGCTAAGCCTAGACATATCTGTCTTCTTCATCCTCCTAAGCCCCGTAATATTGCTCTCAAACAGAATCGACAATGCAAGATCACTAACTCCCTTCTCGCAGACAACAATGTCTGGCTTGACCGCAAGTATCTCACGGCACATCTCTCTCACCTGCTCTTCTTCCACCTCAAGTGCCTTTGTAAAAGCATCCTCCTTCGAAAACTCATAGTTCGTCTGGCTCTCTCCCTTCTTATACTCAAGCGGCGACTCAATCATAACTATCCTAGGATTCTCAATCGTCCTCCGCATTTGAGGATGAATGATCTCCTTGTTGATCAGCACCCCATCCAGAACCTCAGACTCTAGAAAATTACCACCCAGTATCTTCTCAACCTTCATGTTTGTCTTAAGGTCACACTTGTTCTCCTCCTTGGCATATATCCTCTTTACTGTCTCAAGCGCAAGCTCATCAATCGGGATCTTAAGAACACTGCACATCTTTGTTGCTATGCTTCCCCGTATTATCATCAGCCTAGTGTTGTCGTTAGATGTGTCCAACGAAAGAGATGCATTCTCAATCGCCTTTATACAGATTTCAAGTGCCTTGCTCAATGCTCTGCATATCTTTATTGGATGAATGTTCTTGTCCAATACATGCCTCATTTCCCCAAGGATCTCGGCTGCAAGGATAACAACGGACGTTGTGCCATCTCCAACCTCGTCATCCTGCGTCTTTGCCAGCTCTATCAACGACCTTGCAGATGGATGTGCAACATCAAGCTCCCTCAGTATTGCATTTCCGTCATTCGTTATCTCAATCGAATTGATCTTTGTCAGGACCATTTTCTGCATCGCCCTTGGCCCAAGACACGTCCTGATCACAGACGAAATAGTCTTTGCTGCAATTGCACTTTCATTCTGGATCTGCGCTGGCTTATCAGGCACAAGAATATACAGCTTCCGAGGTATCTGCTTTTGCATTTTTGGGGCTTGTCTCTCGCTTGTTAAAAAATTATTCCTGTTGCACATGGCTACACAAGACACGCTCTGTACAAATTGCTTGCCCATGTGGCAGACTTGATCCATCCAAGAGCTACCTCGCAAGCGATCTTCGCACTCATCATATATTTTTACAAACGCCAGATCCCTATACAATGCATGCCGAGTTCACCGAAGAGCATAGCTGGACTGTAGTATCCTCGTTCTTTGAACAAAATGGACTTGTAAGGCAGCAGCAGGATTCGTTCGATCAATTTGTCAAAACAAAGATGCAGGAGGTTATAGACGAAAGCCCGGTCATAATAATCCAGTCAGCACCGACTGCAGGGAACGAGATGCAGAAGAAAATAATGGTGAAGTTTGGACAGGTGTATGTGTCCAAGCCGCCGGTTTACACGGAGTCTGATGGAAGGACAATTACTGTGTTTCCAAACGAGGCGAGGACAAGAGACTTGACATATGCATCGCCTCTTTTTATCGATGTGGTTAAGGAGACTGTGTCTGAGATGGGAGTGGTTGACAAGCACAAGTATTCGAGGGTTCCATTTGGATCGCTGCCCGTGATGCTGAGGTCATCATACTGTGTTTCGCATGGACTGCATGACAAGGACCTTATTGATATTGGAGAGTGCCCGTATGAGCAAGGAGGATACTTCATAGTAAATGGGTCTGAAAAAGTGATTGTTGCTCAGGAAAGAATGGCAAGCAATACGGTGTATGTATTTAAGAAAGCACAGCCGGCAACATACACACACTATGCGGAGATAAGATCTGTACCTGAAAAGAGTTCGAGAAATCCAAGCACACTGTCGATGAAGCTGTGCAAGTCTCCCGGGGTAATAAGGATATCATTGCCTCTTGTGAAGCAGGATATCCCACTGCTTATTCTGTACAGGGCCCTTGGGTTTTTGTCGGACAGGGAGATTCTTGATCATATTTTGTATGAGGATGACGAGGAGATGTTTGGGATGCTCAAGGAGAGTGTTGAGGAGGCAGTTGTTATACAGGATCAGGGCATGGCGCTGGACTATATTGGGAAAAGATATGCACCAATAGGAACGCCTAAGGAAAAGAGGATACGGCTGACAAAGGAGCTACTTGCAAAGGAGTTGCTTCCACACATTGGGATGCAGGAGTTCTGTGAGACGAAGAAAGCATACTTTATTGGGTATGTTGTGCAAAGGCTGCTACTTGTGGCGTTGGGAAGAAGAGCATGTGACGACAGAGACCATTATGGGAAGAAGAGGATAGATTTGAACGGGCCGCTCCTCGCATCGCTTTTCAGGATGCTGTTCAAGAAGGTATGTGTTGATACAGCAAGGCACATGCAGAAATGCATTGAGAATGGAAGGGAGTTTAACATTGCTCTTGGGCTGAAGGCAAGTATTATTACACAGGGATTCAGATATGCACTTGCAACTGGGAATTGGGGAGATCAGGCAAAGGCAATGCAAACACGAGCAGGCGTGGCACAGGTGCTGAATAGATACAATTTTGTTTCGACAATCAGCCACCTGAGAAGGGTAAATACTCCTATTGAGAAGGAAGGAAAGCTGGCTGCGCCGAGGCAGCTGCATAACACGCACTGGGGGGTGGTTTGCCCCTCAGAAACGCCAGAGGGACAGGCATGTGGGCTTGTTAAGAACTTGTCATTGATGGTTTATATTTCTGTTGGGGTGTCTGCAGGGCTTCTTATTGAGTTTTTGGAGGAATGCGGAGTTGAATCATTGGAAGAAGTGTCGAGCTTTCAATTTAGTGGAGCAACCAAAGTGTTTGTGAATGGAATGTGGGTTGGGATCCATTCGAATCCAACGCAACTGGTCAGCTCGCTGAAGTTGCTTAGACGAAGCCTTGGAATGGACAAGGAGGTAAGCATCATCCGGGACATCAAAGAGAAGGAGATCCGGATCCAATCTGATGCAGGAAGGCCGTGCAGACCACTGATGGTAGTTAAAGATAATAAGCTTATGATAACACCAGAAATCATCAAAAAGGTGGAGCGGGGAGTAATGAAATGGGACAACCTTGTGAATGAAGGGATGATTGAGTTTCTAGATGTTGAGGAGGAGGAAATGTGCATGATAGCCATGGATGTTGATGCACTAGAAAGAGAATTGTCGGGAGCTTCTGATGTTACTGTTTCATACACGCATTGTGAGATCCATCCGGCACTGATTTTGGGAATCTGTGCATCTACCATTCCATTCCCAGATCACAACCAGAGTCCTCGTAATACTTACCAGAGTGCAATGGGAAAGCAGGCGATGGGTATCTATGCAACAAACTTTCTTCTGAGGATGGACACGCTGAGCAACATTCTATTCTATCCTCAGAAGCCGTTGGTTACAACACGAAGCATGGAGTATCTTCGATTCAAGGAGCTGCCATCAGGGCAGAATGCCATGGTTGCGATTGCATGCTACTCTGGATACAATCAGGAAGATAGTGTGATCATGAATCAAAGTGCCATTGATAGAGGGCTGTTTAGAAGTTTTTTCTACAGGACATACACCGACCAGGAGGCAATGTCTAGGCCGGGTGTCAATGAGGAGTTTTGCAAGCCTACGCGAGGTGCAGTGTTGAGGATGAAGAATTTGAATTACAACAAGCTTGATGATGATGGAATCATCAGTCCTGGAATGAGGGTTACTGGAGATGATGTGCTGATTGGCAAGATCACGCCGATTCTCGATCCTGAACGAAGTACGAAGGAAACGCCGGTGTATGTATACAAGGACAGTAGCACTGCCATGAGAAGAACAGAAACAGGAATAGTGGATACTGTGATTGTTACAAACAAGGAAGGATACAAGCTTTCGAAGGTGAAGATCAGGTCTGGAAGAATTCCACAGATGGGGGATAAGTTTGCATCTAGACACGCACAGAAGGGAACAGTTGGGATCACGTTGAGGCAAGAAGACATGCCTTTTACTGCAGAAGGGATTGTTCCTGACATAATAATAAACCCGCATGCGATTCCTAGCAGAATGACTATAGGGCATTTGATTGAGTGTCTTCTTGGAAAGGTTAGCGCGTTAGATGGGACCGAGGGAGATGCGACGCCATTTAGCGGACTAACAGTGAATGAAATATCTGCACGTCTGAAGATGTATGGCTATCAGCAGAGGGGGTTGGAGGTGATGTATAATGGAATGACAGGGCGGAAGCTCAGAGCCCAGATATTTTTTGGGCCTACGTATTATCAGAGGCTTAAGCATATGGTTGATGATAAGATTCATGCAAGAGCACGAGGGCCTCTTCAAATTCTTACTAGACAGCCTGTTGAGGGCCGATCTAGGGATGGAGGATTGCGTTTTGGAGAGATGGAGAGAGATTGTATAATCTCGCATGGGGCATCTGCGTTTTTAAAGGAAAGGCTTATGGATGTCAGCGATGCCTATTCATGCTATGTATGCGACGTGTGCGGGCTTCTTGCAATGGGAGGAAACAAAACAAATGAATGCAAAGGCTGCAGCAACACAACCGACATAAGCATGGTCGAGATTCCGTATGCATTCAAGCTTCTTCTTCAAGAGCTTATGGCAATGAACATTGCGCCCAGGATCCACTTTGACAAATAAATGGTTTACTATAGAATGTGGTATATTATAACGTAGTATGCGATACGAAGCACATGGAATGCATGGCGAGGCGCGGTAGTGGTTTATGATACATGTGATTTGTATATAAAATAGATGTGTCTAACATGTATCATCCTTATAAATGTGAAACTCAGTTATGTCTTTGAAACCTGGATACGAAAATAGAACCGATATATAAAAGTGGATGTGGGTTTAATGTAATGGAGGATTATGGATCAAGGCTGAAACCTACAGATAGGACACTTCCAATAGCAAATATATCAAAGATAATGAAGAAGCCTATTCCTAGAGATGCGAAGGTTGCTAAAGATGCAAAGGAAATAATGCAGAAGTCTGCTAGTGAGTTTATAGCAATAATAACATGCAGGGCTAAGGAGATATGCGAATCTGAGGCAAGAAAGACAATCACAGGAGAAGACCTGATAAGAGCGATGGATGAGTTGGACATGCCCTATTATGCAGAGCTTTCTCGAAAGTACTATGTGCAGTATCGAGAGCTTGCAAAGAGCGAAAGAGTTAAGAAGTATTCGCCTAGAGATTTTGGATATAGCCAGATGTAATTCTTGTGTAGCCGAATGCTCGAATAGATGGATTAAATTTATGCGTATGTGCATGTGTGTTCAAGATGTTGGATGCCCTTAATAGTCGCTGGAAGATGAAGGAAATTGACTCTGCAGTGTCAGTGGTGCCCTTTTGCACCGGATCGTCGAGGTTTTCTTGTGATGGCACAACAGTATTCTGTGTGGTGCATGGCCCTCTGGATAGTGTTCACAGGAACAGCGATCCCTTGAAAGCAGCTCTGGATGTTAGATGGAAAGACTCGGTAGTTATAAATGGAAGAATATACGACAAATACTTCTCAAGTGTTATGACGAGTATTTTGTCGAAGTATGTTATTCTTGAATTGGATGGCGGGAAAACAATCCAATTAGCATTGAATGCAGCAGGAAGTACAAGGAACACGTTGTTTTGTGCGGTGAATGCTGCATTGCTGGCGTTGGTGGACTCTGGCATTCCATTGAGGACGATGTTTTATGCAAGTAGCTCGTTTGGCTATGAAGAGGAGGTTTTTGTATTTGATGCTGATGGAAAGATATCATTTGGACACTCATTTGGACCGATTGAGGATTCGAGCATCAAAAATGCCAGCAGCTTGCTTGGATATGTCAAGGATGCCCAGAGATTTGCATTGAAACCAAAGTTTTCGTTAGCTGATGGCTGATTCAAAGATATCTTGCATTGCAACACAATTTGAGGCATGATATGCATGCGCTCGGGAGATCCATACAATAAACAAGAACTAATGCCATACTTTATTTATCTTTCTTTGTATTCAATATTAGCAGTATATGTGTGCTTTTCAATGCCATCAATAAGAGCTTCTAGTACCTTTGCCAAGATATTTGAAACCTGGAATGGCTTAAGTGTAAGATATAATGCTGTTTCATTTATGCTTCTATTCTGACACCCAACCATCAACAGCACTGATTTTCGAAGAATCGATAGTTCCTGCTTCAAGTGCCCACGGAAATACAACTTTGATACTTCAGGTATAAGATCGATGGCAATGCTTATATCTGCTTTCCTTATTGCTACTTGCTTCATTCTCATTACATCGTTTTCACAAAAAAGCAGCATTGGCTCTTTTGCATCATGCTCTTTTGCATCCATTCCTATCAATGAAAGCGACAAGGTTGGTGTAAAATACCTGAAGCTACCAGACAGCAACCTAATGAACCTGAGCACAAACATTTCATTATACAATGCAATGCTTGCATTTTCAGTTGCATCCAGTGGCCGAATAAATATAGACGAATGCTCCCCTGTTTCTTGAGTAATCATTTGCTTTATACAAATAGGCAAAAATCCGTTTCTCGACCAAAACCGATGCAAGTCTTCTGTAAGTCCAAAGGATGCACCAATCCATTCCACATACGGAAGCACGACTTCGTCCATTCCATGCAGTAGAACCTTTCCCTCTACTTCATTTTGAATTCTCATCACTGGCTGGCCATTCATATCATCTGGCCTGCTTTTTACATCCCTGCACAACTCATTTTGTGCACTCTTACAAATGGAATCGATCAACAGCTTCAGTGCCATGGTTCCGTATCCCATTCGTGCGTATTCAGGATGTACAGCCATTCTGACAATCCGAATTCCATAGCTCTCCAGAAATAACGGATCAAGATACTCCTCAGAAACAACCCATGGTATAAGATTGCCCTCTCTGAGATGATTTGTTCGTTTGCACCTGCCCTCAAACGCAATCTGAATTGAGCACATCACACCTGGAAGCTCTTTTCCATCATCCCTTACCGGAGTCACAAGCGTAAACATTTCATGCCGTGGAGAATCAGCAAGAATTTGAAGATCGTTCGGACTGTTTCTGTAATGTGAGGAAACAAACAAAGAAAATGCATTGCTCAGAAACTTTTCGGTCGATGCCTTACCAGAAAGCAGGGCATCTCTATCAACATGAAAAAGCTTGCATTCTGATGGTGATGGGCATCCTTCGATCTTTGGTGCAGACACATCCAGTAGCAAAGCCTTGTATAGCCAACGCTCCACTGGATCTTCAGCACCATATCTTATCGACTCTTTCATTGTTATTTCTTTATATATAAATGTGTTTGATTCTATGCTGCTCTTTCTGAGAAATTCAGTCAACTTGATGGAGAACGCCCTTCCTGTTCCTTCGTATCCGCTGATTGTTGTTGCCATTACGACAAGGTTGGGATTCACGAGCCTCATCAGGGATGTCAGTGGAATGGCTGCTGCTTCATCAATCACCATCATGTCTGGATACTTCTTGAGATCATCCAACGGATTGAAATACTCCACAACCTGCTTTTTTGTCTTTGTGATCTGTATTTTATAGGCAAGCCTTCGGTTTCCTCGGAACTGATAGATTATCTTGAAGTCGACATATTTTGTGTATCCAAGCGCCTCGAGTCCGGACACTGCAAACTCAAAGACAGTCTTGACATTCTCGATCACAGGAGATGCAACAAGTATGTGCATGACCCCAGTGTTTATTGCATGTGCTATCGAAATCCCCAATGCTGCAGACTTTCCTCGTCCCCTGGATGCAGTGATTGAAACAATGGTTCTGTCGTTACAGCTCTCAAGAACCTCAAAGATGGTTTTGATTACTTCCAATTGATCATTTGTTTTGCTGAGTCTTTTCAAAGTGTGATCTTCATCTATGCATGCTACACCGACTGGGTCTTGATTCGAATCGCCACAGTATGGTGCCTTGAGATTTGTGCGGCTTATGTCCAATACATTGAGCCGCTCATCAACAAACAGTACAAAGTTTGAGCTCATTAGCAGCTTGAACAGTCTCCGATTATATCTTGGCTTGAATTCTTCAGCAATGCCAATCTCCAGATGCCCATCTGTCCTACGAGAAACAAGCGTTTCTATTGAAGTGGCGCTATCGAGCAATAGAACGATTGCACCACCTCCTCGTACAGTCTCCATGCTTGTTGCTATTAGGTTCGGTGACAACGCTTCAAAGTCTTGCAGAATTAGCATGTCCACTGTTCTGCCAAGAATCCTTTCGCTTTCTTTGTATTCAACAAAGTCGATTTCGTTTGATCTTATGAACGAAAAAACATCGTCATCGCAATCTTCCGTGGTGTAGTTATTCTTTTGCTTCTTCATGAGCTCCGCTTCCTTGTTCATTTTTTTCACCACATCGCTTTTATGGCACCATACTATTGCGCCAACTGTTCCAAACGAATTGTCCTGCAATGCCTTGTGTATATGGCCCAGTTTGTTTTTGCCTCCTTCTCCCATCACCACCACAAACGATCTGTGGTTTCTTTTACTGTTCATCTCAAAAAAACTTTGAATCCTCCCATCACGCACAAATGTCATTTGATAAAGGACTATTGCTCAATACATTTTATTTCATTATGGGGGCTAAGCCGTGCATTACATCTCTAGGCATTCGTATTCATTTCCATTACTCATCTGTATCTTCTCACGACCTCGTCCATTGTTCTAGGAAAGTTGGCTGGATTATTGAAGTCGAATCCCGGCGGAAGTCTGAATCCCGGCGGCTCTTCAGGCACGTGGATTTCACTCAAACAAATACCAGGCGGAAGATTGCATTCGGTATTTTGCCTATGACCAATAGTATGACTCAAGCAACTGTCTGCGGTTTTTAAGTTTTTGAGGATGGAGTTTAGTTCAGCAGCCACGGTATCTTGTTCGAAGACTTCCATGTAATATGCTTTTCGCATCAAGCCATGTCTTGCGCCCTGGAAATGCATCTTCCTGCTTTTTGGCTTGTCGTTTGGAAGAAACTTGTTGCAGAATTCACAAAAATACTTTGCCATACCAGGGCAGCACAAACGTTGAATGAAGTGAGGCATGCATTGATCCAAATGGCTTGTGTGTCTGCACATAAACAAACATGCATAACAGTAATTATATGTGCATGCGAATATATTTGCAGTGCCTGTATTACTAAGAGCCTGGTGCTGTATAACCATTGTATTATGCAATGCACGTGGTGAGACTTCGTAGCAAAGTGGTTAACGCGGTAGATTGCTAATCTATTTCCTTCTGGGAGCGCGAGTTCGAATCTCGCCGAAGTCGTTTTTGCACAACCACTACAGCTCACAGTATTATTAGCATGCCCTCGTGTTATTAACATCATTGCTTTTGGCATTGCGCCATAATTAAATCATTCACTCCATCCCTGATGGATGACACTGCCCGTTCGATTCGCAAGAATAATGCCAGAAAGACTCCGCTGCCTTCTCGCATAAAAAACAGGAGAGGCTGCAGGGCATACGGATTGAAGAACCTGGCAATAATCATAGCGTTTCTAAGTGTCGGGAGGTTCATAATAGATAACAACAAAGAATTCGGGTTTCTGATGTCTCTTCCACTGCAAACACTTTCTCTCTCAGAATGCATCTACTTCATCATCACTATTGCAATTTCATTAGCACGATCATTCATCGGGTTCTACATCGAAACAACTAATCAAAGGCCAGTGTACATCCACATCAACATTGTCGTCATGGAGGCTATAATTGCATACTTGAATCTGAAACATATAAAGCATATATATTCATCCGGATGGTCAATGATATTTGATATTGTTTGTGTGGCCAAGCTGATATCATTTCATCTTGTAAGTAGAGAGTCAAAACGAAAGGCCTGTACTAGCCATACAGTACCTACATTAGGGCACTTCTCGTACTTCTTGTCAGTCCCTACTCTTTGCTTTGAGTTCGAATTCCCGCTTAGAACTAAACGAGACACTACGAAAATCATGTGGAGATTTGCCCAACTAGCACTTGGATTCCTTCTTTTTGTATTTGTAATGGACCAATATGCAATCCCAAGCATATATAGAATAACTGGATTCAGCAACATAACAACAGTGGTTGAGAACATAATCAATTTTTCAATAAGCACAATCATATTGTTTCTTGTGTTTTTCTACACAGTATTCTACTGCCTTCTTGAAGCAATTGCCGAAATAACATTGTTCTACGACACATGCTTCTACCAGGAATGGTGGAATGCATCATCGGCAAGGGAATTCTGGGCACTGTGGAATAGGCCCGTATATGTTTGGCTCAAGAAACATGTTTATTCGGCAATGATCAGTAAAGGCGTGTCTAGAAGCAAGGCTGCAGCCATGGTGTTTGTGGTTTCCGGCCTTGTTCACGAATACGTCATCTCGATATCGATAAAGAAATTCACTGGATGGTTCTTCATAACCATGCTTATCCAGATTCCACTCATACACATAACCGAGTCGTTCAAGAGACGGTTTCCATCCCTAGCAAACTTTTTTTTCTGGGGCACGTTTTGTGTAATAGGACAGCCTTCCGTAATGCTATTGTACTACAGATCGTTGTATATAAAAAAGCATCGCATGTAGCTTGCAACTGCAATTGAACAAGATGTGCATTTTGCTCAAGTCACAGTGGGCATTTCCCTAATGCATTATGGTGCACCGTAGCATGGCTAGCATAGAGCTTGAGTTGATTAAACCAATAAAAAGAAATGGCTGCCTGGGGTAAAGAAATGGCTTTAAGAAAAAGAACATTTCTGCATGATGCAATAGACATGATATCGATGGGGAGCCATACACTTGAGAGTGATGATTTTACAAGATGCTTTCAGCCAATATCAGGCATTGAGATGGACTCTAGTGGGATATTCTATACATTTTCGTTTCTGATCAGGTACTTTGTTTTATTTCCAGCCAGATTTGCCTTTTTTGCTGCGTGCATGGCTATATTCTGCCTGATGGTGATGAGATACACAGTCACTGGAAATATCAAGCAACTGGATAGTGCGTTTATGTTTATAAACAAATCACTGATGATGGCAACAAATGCTAAAATCAGGCATATTGGGGAAAAGGCTAGGCTGAACGAGCCTCATGTGTATGTGGCAAACCACACGTCCTTTTTTGATTTCATGCTACTTAGCAGTTACAAATTTCCTCATGCATGCGTCTCTGAAAATCACGGAGGTCTGTTTTCGTTTCTGTTTAAGCTTATTCTAACGCGCAACGGCTCGATTGCTTTCAAAAGAAGTGAACGAGTGGATAGAAGGTTGGTTGTTGAGAAGCTGAAAGTGCATGTGCAGAACACACAGTGGGCGCCGATGCTGATCTTTCCGGAGGGAACTTGCGTTAACAACAAATTCTCTGTGCTTTTCCAGAAGGGGGCGTTTGAGCTTGGAGTGGCGATCTGCCCTGTTGCAATAAAATTCAAAAGAGGGCTTTTTGATCCTTATTGGAACAGGAGAGTCCATGGATTTGCAACACACATGTTCTATCTTATGACACGGTGGCGGGTGGAGGCTGAAGTAAGATGGATGCAGCCTGTGAGAATCATGAAGGGAGAGAACCCAACACAATTTTCACACAGGGTTAAGATTCTTATTTCCAAGAGCGCAGGGTTGAAAAATACATTGTGGAATGGGTTGCTGAAGAGCAGCCCGGCAATAAAAGACAGAGAAATGCTGGGAGAGGCGTATCTGATAACATATGGGAAAATGGCATCCAAAGGATTCTGCAAGAACGAGCAAAAGACTGATAAGAATAAGGTTTATCTTTGCGATGAGAATATCGACAACACATCAACAAGGAATCATTTGTATTTTGAAGCTGCTATTCCGTACAAAAAGTTCCAGAACGAGGTTCTTAAGGAGTATCTGAGACTCAAGGAGCTTCCTCAGACAGAATTGAAATTCCTATTGACAAATCACAAAAGTGTTAGCGATTCACTCAAAGATGCAAATGGAGGGATGTTCTGCAATTGTCAAAGTAAATTGTAAGACAACGATCCAGGATGTAAATGGATAAAAAACAAATGCACTTTTTGGTACAAATACATGGCACATGACAGTAGCGTTGCTATGGCACTTAAGTTTGGGTTTATTGACTCGTTTTCTTATGGCCTATATAGCATCGATTTATTATATATAAGATGCACATTCTACACAGCAGGACATTGAAAATGTTTATGCCAAATGCCGATACACCATGTTTACCTATAAGCTTCATTTGGCATTCTAATAATAAAATAGATGCTACACATCAAATGTATATTTTATCATACTTGAGTTGTTTACGCTCTGTATATCTAATTCACTTTTGATCTTCATTCGTAATAATCCTCATTGTCTTTCGCTCTGCTATTCCAAGCTTGCATTGTGCAATTTTATCTGCAAATCTAAGAGAGCACACTGTCTCGTTGAAATGCTCCATTTCTGGTGAAACAGTGACAAACATCGCAGCTCTGGAGCTTCCTGACAAGAAGTTCTGCAGCAGATATGTAAGCTTAGAATTCCTAAACGGGATGTGACTGTCTTTTCTTAGAATCGAGCTGAAAACATCTCCCAGCGCAGACAGGCTTTTGTTAATGCTTTGTGTTTCTTTCAGCCTAACGCCTTCGGCTTTCGATGAATTCAATCTCTCAGAGCCTGCAAGATCAATAAATATCATCGATCCTTCCCTTTTTTCATTTAGAGCTGCATTCTCCATCTTTACATTCAGGATATAGACAGAATGGCTTCTACTCGATCGAGTGTTACATTCCGTACTGCCCACTTTCCTTCTCTTGCCTGCATCCTCTAATGCTTTCAAGGCACTTGATATCTCACCAGCATTCATAACTGTGCAGTTCATCAGGTTTGTATCTCCATCGCCATGAACTATCGATACCTTCCTTGCCTCACTTGAAAACAAATCAATTATCTCCTCATTGTATATTTCAACATAGCTACATGTATTCAAGCATTGCCACCCTTCTTTCTGCATCATACCAACCGCACAGTCAATCTCCACCATTGCTCTATGTATCAATCCAGGCTCCTCTCCGTTTCCTTCCATCGTATACGTCTTTCCACTTCCTGTCTGTCCATATGCAAACACACATATCTTGTATCCGTCAAGTAAAGACTGAACCATCATCGCAACTTCATCATATACATTTCTCTGTGTTGCATTCGGTCCAAAAATCCTGTCAAATTCAAACTTATGTCTCTTGCCATGCCCACATATTTCAAGACACCTGTCAGACATCTCAATTCTTGAGCTTGCATTGCTCCCAGTACTTGGCTTGATCCTACAAAGCACTCTTATGGATCCCTTTAAATCGACTAGTTCGTTTCTTAACCTTGATATCATCCTTGCTTGCTCCAGGCATTCATTCTCAAGCATTTCTACTCTCTTGATTCTATTGCTATATTCATCAACAGTGCGGCCCATCTCGCATTCCCTTGCTCTCAGTTCATTGTTTATTGCTTCCAGTTTGTAAACCTCGTCTTTGAGAAATTGTATCTCCCTGACCATATTTTCATGTGTTTCCAAATGGTGTTCTGGATTTGGCAAATCATCTTCAAGCGCATTGTGAGTGCAGATGCATGCCTTGCGATTTCCTTCTTTAGTGTTTGCATTGATCTCCTGTTCCCTGTTATTCGTGGATTCTATGCATCCGTTGTGCCCACAGCATCCAGGTACACATATTTCAAGCAGAACAGAATCCTTTCTTGGCCGTCTTGGCGTCTTTTCGTCAATATTCTCCTTGATATCGCTAAATATTGCCTTGAGCTCGCTTATTCTATGTGGAATGCTAGAGCCTACCATTTGAAAGGGTCTGAATGTTTGGCGTTAATGCAGTTTGAGTGCAGCGCCTGATGCTGCATATGCATAGGACATGCATGAATTACATATTGTACACTACGTATATGCATCCTCTGGGCAATTTCGGTGTGTTTTGATGCAATGCAGAGTCTGAATCGCATGAGCGTATGTACAATATTCGCTTGACACCCTTTGATGAAATGCACAGCATGTCAAATGGATGTTGATGGCCACACCAAGGAGCATTACTTGTCTGAGATACACAGGATAAATGTAAAGAGACAGATATACGGCATGCCACCAATAACAATCGATGAGATGCAAGCAGATAATGCAAGCAGAGCTATTGAGCAAAGTAATGCTCAAGAAGCAGATGCCAGATGCCAACGAAGGATCACTGTCAATGAAAAGATAAAGACATGCGCAGCAAAGTGCGTATTTTGTGATGCTGAAGCAGATCATACTCATTACAAAGGCCATGGAATGTCTGATGAGCAGATTGAGCATATAAAGAGGAATACTTGCTATGTATGCCACGAAGGATTTGTAGGGGATGAGTGTCTGAAGATACACATTGCATCTGGAAAGCACAGAAACGCAGTAGTTGACGGGAGAAACTTGATCCTGCAGGATGGTAGAGTGATCAGTGTACGAGGGCATAAGGTGCGGCACGACAATTCAGGAGAAAGCGATGCGCTTGGAAGCAGATTGGCTATGAGGAATGAAAAGCAGAAAGCAAGCGCAATTTCATTGATAGTTAGTAAAGCAGAGAAAATAATGTCTGTTAACAACAAAAACCAGCTGAAGGTTTCTCTTTCGATGAACCACCAGCAGCATTTCAAGCCTGACTGGATGCAATAAATAATTTCTAGATATGGCTTACAGGTTAATAAAGGATAATTTATGATGCCAAACATAATGATTAGTGATGTGTTGTTTCAGGTAGAATAAAAACATTTGGAGAGAGGCCCACTAAATGCAAGCATACACAGTAGTGAGTGTTGGAAAGAAATACTCTGGCACATTTAAGGCATATGTGGCATGTGAAGGAAGAGTTATTTCACCGTTCCATGACATCACATTGTATATGAGTGGAAACAGAGGCGTGGTGAGCGTGGTGAATGAGATCCCAAGATTTGAGAGTGCAAAGTTTGAGATAAGCAAGAAGGAAGCATTTAATCCTATAATGCAGGATATCAAGAAAGGGCAGCCGAGGTTTGTGAAGAATGTTTTTCCAATGAAAGGGTATTTGTGGAATTACGGGGCGCTTCCTCAGACATGGGAGGATCCAAATGAGGTCGACAAGGATGCAGGCGCGAAGGGAGACAATGATCCTGTTGATGTTATTGAAATAGGGCGTAGGAGAAAGGGGATTGGCGAGGTTTACCAAGCGAAAGTGATTGGGAGCATAGCAATGATTGACGAGGGCGAGTGTGATTGGAAGGTTGTTGTTATTGATGTTGAGGATGAGATGGCGAGCAAGATCAACGGGATTGAGGATGTCCGAAGGGAGTTTGAAGGGCTTCTTGAGGAGACCATAAACTGGTTCAGGGATTATAAGGTTCCTGATGGAAAGGAACGAAATAAGTTTGCATTGAATGGCGAGTACATTGACAGGGAGTCAACCATTGGGGTGATTGAAAGAGCGCATGAGAGCTGGAGTGCGATGATAAATGGAAAGAATGAAGTAGGGATATGCAGACAGAACTCTACATTGAACAGCAGGAGCGAACCGCCTAAGATTGTTGCAGAAGCACTGTCTGATGAGGAGGTGCCTGAGTATCTGAATCAGTTTGAATTTATTAAATAGGATGAAGATGTGGTATTTCAGTATGATTTTTTACTTTAAGATGCATGCGTGATGCAAAGTGCTATTTGTAGTGTATTTGCTAACTTAATGTTAATGTGCTGTTTTATAATGGATTGCGTTCAGTGCTAATGAGTATTCTATAGGCTTGGAATAGAGTAGTGATAATGCTGAGTCGGAAATCCCCAGTTTTTATGGCAAAAATAAGTGATTTGGAAGATCCGTCAATGGCGGACGAGGTTATCTCGAAAATGAAGGTATCATGCAGCATAGGAGCACGAAGGATGCTTTCTGTGTGCATGATAGTGTCTGCAGGGTTTTTTCTGTGCTGCATCGATGAATTTTCAAAGGAGTATGGAGGTGATGAAGAAGCCTTAATCAAGATACTATCTGCAATTGGCATCGAATGCATCAGCAATGCCTAGATATTATATGCTGTCTATCAAATACAAGAGCACATAAAGCATACATTTTCTACATAAAAACAATGAGCGAAATACTAGCCATTTTATTGATTTGATTCATGGAACATTTTATCTGTAACAGCATCCAATACAAGGAAGAAATCCACACGATCCAGTATCTGAGGCTATTTTCTTTGTGTCCCAAATATACTTTGCAGCCTCAAGAAACACAAGATCTACGTTTTCCCCTGTAAGTGCTGAGCACTCAAAAAACTTCAATGCATTGATCTTTTCAGCCAATGCCTTGCCTTCTTCCTCAGTCACCATCGAGGACTTATCCAATGTTGGGTCATCGGTGTCTCGCATGTCCTTTTTGAGTCCTATGAGAAAGAACTTTGAATTTGGACAGTAGTTTCGTATCTCCATCAACCACTTTCTCGATATATTTGAAATTTTCTTATTATCTTCTATTGTGTAGCATAACAACACAACATCTGTTTCTCTGTATGAAAGAGGCCTTATTGTGTCATAATCCTCCTGCCCAGCAGTATCCCATACAGCCAGTGACACTTGTTTATCTTTTGCAATCTCAATATCTTTTACAAAGTTATCCACAACTGTGGGAATGTAGACCTTGGGAAACTGATTCCTTCTGAACACCTCCAGCAAGCACGTCTTTCCGCATGCACCATCTCCTACTACAACGACTTTGCCTGCTTTCTGCTTGTTGCCGTCCACAATCATCTGGATGTGCACCGAAGTTCATTTATAACTAGATTAAGGAGATTCAATTTGACAAATCTTCTTCTATGTAGCTGCGTACAAAATCACTAGTTATACTTGGCATTCACTAATTGGTGGTTAAAATATATATCATTTGCCTTTGATGCTTATATCATTCGATATGCAGGCATGCCATTGGGTGTAGCAAGCTCCACTTAAATGCGCTACTTCGATCTTTTCTTAGACACGCCTATGGATGCCAGCATTTCACGTTTTGCTATGGCTTTTTCCTTACGCTTATCTATCATTCTGATTGCATGCTTGAGCGGCAAAGGATGCTTCTTGACGCATCCTCCCAGAATCCCTACTTTCCTTTTCTTCAAGTTTATCTGCTCTCTTGGCGACTTTCTGCTTTCAACATACTTTCTTATGTCTTCCATGCATTTTATGAGCTCCTCTGATATTTTCCTTACCATGTGCTGAGGGTTCTGGATGTGTGTACGAAAGTGAGATGCGATTGATGGTACAGCAGCATCTAGGTGAGCGATGGCGTGGTTTAATCACTGAAATGCGAACCCCTGAAATGGACATAACTATTCCAGGTCTGGACATTGTGCGAGCCGAGCTGAAGAAGATAATGAGTGGGTCACAGCGGTACACCATACTGAACCTGTCGGAAGAAAAGCCCATGTCTCTGTCGATTGTAAAGAGCGGAGGATGTGCTGAGGCAGCAGGTGGCAACAAAAGGCACACGGTAGAGGAGCTGCAAAGGATATTTGAGGAGTTTTCGTCGAGTGTTCAGGAGGATGTGCCGTGCTTCGCAATATATGACTTTGTGTATTTTGATGACGACAGGATCCAGAAGAAGACATTGTGCCTGGTGTCGTACATACCTGAAAACCTTGCTCCCCAGAAGAACGTGCCTTACTCGACGAATGCACTGAATCTGAAGGATGTGCTTAATATTTCTATGCACATTTCGATCAAGAGGAAGATGGATCTTGCGTTTGATAACTTTGTAGAAAAATGTACTGCTTTGCGGATGAAATAATAAACGACTTATTTGTTCTGAGAAGACTGTGTGTAAAGCCTCGTAAAATATTTGTGTTTTGGATGGGAGAGGGTGATGGATCAGGCAATGACGAGCGTGAGCAAGCAAGGCGTGAAGGGTCTGAGAAGATCCACAAGAAGCAAGACACAGGCGATATTCATGGATGCAGTACATGAAGAGTGTGCAACCGGAGCAGCGGATATGCCTATAATAGAAAAATGCGGCAAGAGTGAGATAGTTGCAAGCACAGGCATTGTAAATGGCCACGATGTGCTCACTGCAGAAAAAAGAATGTTTTCATTCAATTCATTGATTCAGATGTTCAGTGGTATGGAAAAATGCATTCATAGCGAAGGAGTGGGGAGTGTACAGAAACATGAAGATATACCTGGAATATTGGCTAATGGATGTGTCAAGCATTTATTGCGTGTGCTTGAGGACAGTGCATGCAAGGACAGAGTGAATGGAGAGCAAGCTCCTGTGCAAATGAAATGAGCTTAATATGGTGAGCGTGTTTATTCATATGATGCATTCTATTTGCTGTCTGCTTCATATTAAATCAATAATATGAGATAATTCATGGAGTGTATTTTTATTATGAAAAAATGCAGAGCCTCCAATGGATGAGCAGAAGATAGAAATCAAAGAGCATTATAACAATATAAAGGATAAGGGGCTTGAGGGACGAGTCCAAAGCAAAGCAATAAACATAAGAAACACCAACAACTTTATCAAGGCATGTCTGATAAGGATGTATGTCAAGAGAGGAGACTCCGTGCTGGATCTTGGATGTGGAAAGGGGGGAGATCTATTGAAATACGAAAAGGCAGGGATTGGAGTGTATCATGGAGTTGATATTGCTGAAATGTCAATAAACGATGCAAAGCTTAGGTTCAATGGCATGAAGAAGAGCTTTAAGACGTCATTTGATGTTAGAGATGTGTATGGCCAGCACATGGATCTTGGGGTGCAATTTGATATTGTTTCATCACAGTTCAGCTTCCACTATGCATTTTCAAACAGTTTGCTGCTTGATGTTGCACTGCAGAATGTGGAAAGGCATTTGAAGCCCGGAGGGTTCTTCATTGCGACTGTGCCATCGAAGGACGTGATTCTACAGAGGCACCAACAAGGTAGATTGCACAATGAATTCTATAAGATTGAGTTGGGCACGGGCATACAAATGTCCCCTGAATCAGCTAATGAATATCGCTTTACATTGATAGACTCTGTAAACAACTGTATCGAATATTTTGTGGACTTCAATAGGATGGTGGAAGGCTTCAAAAAGCTTGGCATTGATTTGATTAGTAGAAAAGGCTTTATTGGTTTCTATGAAGCTGAGTGTAGCAAAAACTTTGAGCTTTTTAAAAAAATGAATCTGAGCAAGCTTAAGTGCGAGGAAGCAGAGGTTGTTGGAATCTATGAGGTCGTTGCTTTCAGAAAGCAAATGGTTTAAATATCAAGTAAAAATCCGAATTGGTATCTAATCTCGTCTATTCTTTCTCTAGCATCATTCGATAGCGTTTGCTGATATTCGGTTTTGAGTATTTTCGACAGATAGTATGCTACGACAGGAATTGACCCAACTAGTGGCTTTATCTGCTTTATAATGCGTTCGTATTCTAGTGGAATCTCTTCAATCACCCTTGTTATTTCCATAAGTATCAGTATATCACTCTCTTGCTTTGTAATCATACTTTCGATCTTTTTCATTACTTTGTTGCTGTGATTATTTATATATCCATTGATCATCGTATTCAGGCTTTGCATATCCTTGGACCCTGGTTTTCCAATCAATGGCGCCATCGAATGTATGCTTTTGATTACATGCTCAATGCCAGAAAATTCATGCAACTCCATCTTTTCATAGCAGCTTCCTAGCAGCTTTAGTGTCTTTTCTCGGATGTACTTTTGCTCCTCCTTTGATGCAATGTCGATTAACACTGTATAAGCTTTTTTCAAATCTTCTAATGCATGCTCAAGTGATGCCGGGTCCGTTATTGATGTACTGTATCTCTCAAGTTCGTCATCTATAACACCAATCTTCACTCTCTTGAGATGTGAAAAATACACGCTTTGTGCACTAGGACGCAACGATGCAATCTTTATATTGTCCATCAACCTTTTTATGCATATCTTGGTGAACAATAGCTGTTTTTCATGCATTATGCATCCCATACAGTAGAAGTAATGGTTGGTCCCCTGTATCTGAATCTCTTCGCCAACTTTATTCATAAGGCTCAGGTATTGCTTTGTAATTTCATCCACGCACAGCACATCATCCAACGCAAACATCTCCAACGCATTGGTGCTGTTTTCCTTGAAGTTTACCAGAAGCGTGTTCATTATCTTATGTTCTGTCTCTGTCTCACATATCCTGAAATACAATTGAAAGTAATATGAAGCCTCTTGGAAAGTACATCTTGGCCGCTGTATACGTCTATAAATATTCTCCAAAAACTCACATCTTTCGTCATGAATCGATCCCCAGATCGTTCGCACATACTCTGATCCCTTCAACTGCTCGTAAATCCCTCTTGCATTTTCATACACATCAACAAATCTTTCTAGGTTGTTAAGGTTTTTTTGAAGTATAGCCTTGATGTTGAAGAGATCCGAGTACTTGCTTGCATAATACTCTTTTCTATACCTATTGACCTCACTCTTGCTGTCCTCCAAAACATTAGATGCTATCTCATTGAATTTATCCCTTACAACCTTGATGTTGTTTTCAAGTTCAGATGTGAATTCCTTGTCGTATCCTTTTTGCTTGATGTTTGCCCACACATCCTCAAGCACAGCCCTGCATTCAACAAACTTTCCAAAGTGTTGCTTGACCAGCTGCTTGTTTCTGGCCTTTGTTTTGTTTATTGAGCCAATAAGGAACACCAGCGAGTCGTTGAGGTCGTACTCTGTTGAATCGGCATATGTTTTGTTTATCACATTTACTGCATTGAAGCTTTGGCTTGCCCTTGGCTCTTCGATGCTGCCCATGCCTGTGAACAGCAGTGGATAAAAAATTTATTATGTGCCATTAGAAAAAAACAAAGAGCGTCCCCTTAATGAGAGGACTGTTTTCAGCCAACAACCTAATAAAGAGCAGAAAGGCAAAAAGACTCGCAGACACTGCATACAGAAAACGCGCACTCGGCACAAAGTACAAACATAGTGTGCTTGGCAGAGCGCCACAAGCAAAGGCAATTGTTCTTGAGAAGCTTGGGGTGGAGGCCAAGCAGCCGAACTCTGCCATCAGAAAAGCAGTTAGATGCCAGCTGATTGCGACAGGAAAGAAAATAACAGCATTTGTTCCATATGACGGATCCATTACATACATCGAGAGTAACGATGAGGTGACTGTTGAAGGATTTGGTAAGAAAGGAAAGAGTGTGGGAGACATTCCGGGTATTCGTTTCAGGGTCTGCAAAGTGCAGAATGTATCTCTGCATGCACTATTTACAGGAAAGAAGGAAAAGCCATCGAAGTAATTAAACATTTCCAGTATGTAGTTTAAGAGCCGCTGTGTTCGTAGTGTGTAGTATCGCTTGGCTTGGATGCGATCTTCTTATACAGCATAATTTTGTTTCTGAAGCTTATGAAGAACAGATTACAAAGATGTAGCAACACAAACGCTTGAAGCTGATGAACAATCCAATCTCTTTAATGTTTATGAATAGTGCAAATGCATTACTTCTGCTTCTGCTGCTCTTCAAGAGAAAGCCGGATAGCTTCTGCAAGCTCTGGGTCATCTTCATCAGAAATATCGCTTCCGCATACAAAAGACAATGCCCGACTTGATAAATCATCATTTGGTTCAATTTCTATGCAAGAAAAGCTCGTCAAGCCTATCTTTCGGAACGACTCAGACATTCCCAATGCTTCTCCAAAAAACACCATTTTGATGTTGATTCCAAGCGTCAGTATTTCGTAAATCCTTGCAAATAGCTCATCCTCGGGAACATCTTCCATTCTTGTTCCAAGAAGAATCACTAGCATGCATCCAGGCGTATCCCTCTGGTTGAAGATGTGGATGCACTGTGATAGGCAACTCATAATGTCTGTCTTGCTGTTCAGCACAATCCTGTTCAGAAATGTCTTTATATATGCTCTCTGTTTGGTTGGTGTCACAATATCATTTGCTTGAACCTGCACCAGAGGAACAATTCCTATTGTGTTTTCTTGGTTATCCTCAAACTTCCTTGATATCAATGACTCTACAACCTCCTTCTGCGCCACGAACCTGCTTGGAAGGTAATCTTGGTTCTGAGAAAACATCCCATTATCAAACAGCACAACAATAGTTTCAGGCATGCAGAGGGGTGCTCTAACCCAAAATCTTGTACTTCTAGGAATAATCAACACACATCCGCAAATACTCCGTTCCACATACATAGATAAGAAACAGGAAACAGAAGACACTCATTCTAATAATATATGTTCAATTAAACTAGAATCATGCTTGAATATCTACGATGTCAGTGCTCGATTGCTCCTACATCAGCAAAACTATTCCGTTTTATGCACAGAATCGATCTGATCCACACAATGCACAGCCCTGCTATAAGCACCGATGATATCAGTGCCATGCTTCTTATGTCTCGTACATCAAATATCATCGTCATAATCGTGCAGTACAACGATCCTATCGTCTTTCCAACATTTAATCCCAGCCCGTCATGTATTCCTCTAAACATCTGCCTGTGCATGGGATCTATTCTGATAGACACTGCTTCCTTCGATATGTCAAAAAAACAGTATTTCGATATCCTCATCAGCGATACAACAACCATCCCAATATGGTTTTCAAGGATAAACCTTGCCACTTCCTCCCTCCTCAGGTTTAAAAAAACAATTGGGAAAAATATCATCAACGATATAACTACCATGGCAGGCGCAACGATTGCTACGGGCAGCCATCCTTTTCTGTCTATGAATTGGCCTGCTGGCTTGAAAAAGATTACAAGCAGAAGAATCGATGTTATTATCTGTGCAGAGTAGTTCAGGCTGGTAACATAAGAAGAAATCGTTTCAGACGCTTGTGCAGCACCTAGTGCTATTCCTCCTCGATATGTCGCCTCAACAACGCTAGAACATACAGAAGACATTATCACGATTGTTGTCATTGATGCAAGAAGTTTTGATTTCTGCATTAGTTTCAATGACTTCGAGAGCGTTATATTTTCATTTCCATGTATCACGCCCTTCATACTGCTCTGCTGCTTTGTCAGGAATCTGTCTGTAAAAAAGCTTACGCCTGTTGTAACTAATCCAAGGATCGAAGCCACTACAAACACATTTGAAAACATTGCTTCCTTGCCATCAAAGCACAAAGTATCTCTGTAGCTGTTTAAATTCCTTATTATCAGGCCTGAAGAGAGCATAACCGCCCCAGAAATCAGCGAAAGCATTGGGAAAAACCTCTTCAGCTGTGCCTCTGTGCATTGATGCGTCAACCGCGAAAAAAACATAAACGACACTATCAAAGATCCCCAGAGCTCAGAAATAAGATACAGCACACTAGAAGTCCATTCATTGAACACTAGGAGCGTGGGAAAAAGAAAATCAAGCTGCCTTGAGTTCATCTTCCCCTCTGAGAAGATGTCTCTTGACCAGAAGAAGTCTATTTGAAGAGCTTTGCTGTTTGGCCAGATTACGGTTCCAAAAAGCAGCACAAATGCAGAGGAACACAGAAGGATAATCTCAAGCATTCTTGACGAGCCAAGTATTTTTAGTTTCCTTTGAACAACATCAATGAAGAAGAAAGACGCCGGAACAACTAATACGGACTTTATGAACAATATTGAGCTTGGGATCTGTGTCTTCATCACAGCTATGTCTCCAAGGATGTGCAGAAATACATCGATATATGAAAGCAATGCAAACAGCAGTCCAAACATAATGCACACAGCCAAATCTCGCTTCTGGCTTATAAGGCCCGGCAGTATATTTTGATGCGCAGACTGAATCATCCCTTCAATTTGTTCGTCTCCCAGCAAGCCTGTAAGGTTGCTAGTATTTTCAGACATTCTGGGGCTACCATGGTGCATGAATTTATTGTTGCTTGTGGCTATGCTAATATATTAAATTCAAGCGCTGCGTTTTTGTGTGCAGATGTGACTTTGTATGATGATTGTGCTCATAAGTGGATTACTCTTGATAAATCTTGCTTGAGGTAATCCTGGTAGATGAAGAGGGATGAAAGCAAACTTGTATTTGAAAGTGCAGGTGATCTGGTTGATGAAAGGATAATTGGGGTTGAGAGGATGATAAAGCGTAGATTGAGGCAGTATTCTTTGAACTTACCGGTAGAAAGCATGTTTGAGAGATACTCCGATAAGTATTTTGTAAGTCTTCTTACTGAAGACATGCTGAAGAGTTCTGTGAGTCTTGAGCTGATGCCTTCTGAGATATCGAGGATATTTGGCGCAAAAAGCGAAAGAAGGGTGGAAGATATTGGGAGTGTTGAAAGCTCCTCATCAGAAGAAGATGCAGATACCGACTCAGAAACAAAAAGCGAAGAAAGCGACAATGATTATGTACAGAATTTTTATGATGAGGATGTGTTTGTGTCAGACAAGGAGGAAGAAGGATACATTTTCTAGCAACGCGTATGAGCAGACACCTGTGATGAATTGATTTCTTCTGATAAAATTTATTTCTGGATGTCTGCTAGCCTTATTGAGCGATGAGGATGGATGAGCTAAAGATTGATAATTTGCTAGTTGATGCATGCAGAGAAAACGGAATTGTTGATGCAACAAAGATACAGGAGCAAGTGATTCCTGTGGCAATGGGAGGAAGGGATGTTGTGGCCATTTCGCAGACAGGGAGTGGAAAGACTCTTGCATTTATTCTGCCGATTATTTCATGCTTGCTGTCTAGGGATCGTTCGTTTTATTGCCTGATAGTTGCACCAACAAGGGAGCTGTCTTCACAAATAATTGAATGTCTTGGAATGTTTAAGTGCACTGGCCTGAGGACATGTCTTTTGGTGGGTGGGATGAGTTTTGGGGCACAGACAAGTATGCTTGCAAAGCACCCACATATTGTAGTTGGGACACCTGGAAGAATAGCAGAGCATATACTGAAAACGAAGTCGTTTAAGATAAGCAGAGTGCGGAAAGTTGTGCTTGATGAAGCAGATAGGTTTTTTGAGCAGGATTTTGGCAGCGATCTGAATACGATTTTTGGAAGTCTGCGGAGCAAACGGCAGACGCTTCTGTTTACTGCAACGATGCCTGATAAGGTGTGCGAGCTATCGAAGTCGATTCTGGTCAATCCAAAAACCATCAAGGTTGTGGAAGGGTATGAGACGGTTGAGACGCTGAAGGAATACTATGTGTTTGTAGCAATGAGCTGGAAGAACTCGAGTCTTGTTGAGCTACTTGGGATGCATCCTGGGGAGGCAGCGATTGTGTTTGTTTCGATGTGTGTGTCTGCACAGGTTGTGTGCTTGGCGTTGAACAGGCTTGGGATTCATTCAGAAGCACTACATGGGGGGCTTGAGCAAGAGAAGCGCGATATGGTTGTAAACAAGTTCAAGAGGAATGAGTTTGATGTTCTTGTATGCACAGATGTAGGAAGCCGAGGATTAGATATATGCCATGTGGGGCTTGTGATAAACTTTGATGTTCCAAAGAGTGGGAAGGATTATATACATCGGGTAGGACGAACGGCCAGGGCTGGTAAGTGTGGAACTGCAGTTACGTTTGTGACGCAATATGACGTTGAGCAGATACAGAGGATAGAGTTTGCATTGGGAAAGAAGCTGGAAGGGCTTGAAGTTGCTAGGTGTTCGGATTCTGACAATAGGATAGTTGAGGAGGCAGTGGAAGCAGCAAAGGAGGATCTGAAGCAGATGGCGAAGACAAAAAACAGATACAGAAAGAAAGCATAGGCTGGAGACTTAGGGTGCATGCCATGGAGTTAATAAATATTATTGGATATTATGCTTACTGATTGTGATTTTATTGCGACTAGTAAATGACGTGAAGATGCATGGAAGGCTGTGTGTATGTGTATTGTGAAATTGGCTATACCTAGTATGTGACAACTTAAAACAGGGTTTCTGAAGTTGTGTCATGAGTTGAAGTTTGTATTAGATTGGCTGTAATAGAAAGTATTTTAAGTGATCAGAAACACAATTGAATGGCTTCTGCAGAGAATGGCAATGGTGCGGAGAAGGAAGAGAATGCAGAAGTAGGCCGTAATGATAACGGAAGCAAGCAGGATGATGATGAGGAAGCAAGCCGTAATGAAAAGAAGGAAGAAATTATCAATGATATCATAGCAAGCAACTCGATTGATATACCAGTAGACGAAAACCAGATGGCATTCGCAAAGGAAAAGGTTATTCAGGAAGAACAATTTTCATGGATGAACATGGACAGATACCTGCATCAAAAATACAGCACAGTTTCTGAGCTTGTGAGGATAATTCTGGAAATAACAATAGTTACGATACTGCTTATGGGATTTCCTGTTGGGTTTACGCTGATAATGAATGGATGGGATGTGATGCCGGTTATGCTTGAAGTGGTCAACGCATCGGGAGAAGGGAATGTGTATATGTTCATGAGATTCAATTTCCTTGCACTTGTGTGCTATGTGATATTTGTAAGTGTATCTGCGTTTGCAAATAATATTCTGTATATAATGGCTGACTTTCTGAAGTTCATTAATGTTGAACCTAGCGAGACAGTTATAGAGGTAGTGCAGATAATCAACTCGACATCCTGGTGCTGGAAGCAGTCGTTGACTGCGCTCTTCGTGTTTTTAGCGATGTCGTATTTTTCTCCGACATACAAGTTCAAGGGGAGTGAAAAGACCTACTGGTACATTTTTATTACGTCGATGCTTATGTATTCAATCTTCATAACGATAATCCTGGTTGAGAAGGCAATAATGTGCTTTTTTATTTCTGAGATCCGAATGAAAGAGTATAGAAACAGGATATGGGAGATCAACTACAAGACGTTTGTTTTCAAGAAGCTTGCAGCAATATCAGAGGCTAGCCCAGGCGATAGAAAGGTGTTAATTGAAGAAATGCGGCCGGACATTGACCATGGGTTCTATCTTAAATACAATGACCTGAAGCTGAATTCCGTGGAAGCAGCAGAGATGGTTGCAAAGTCTATATTTGGGTTTCTAGAGATTCACGAGCTTCGATATGAAAATCTACAAACGTTTTTTCTGGAAAACTTTGACGAGGTTTATCTATACCTGTCAGACAGGCCGGAGGTTCTTGAAGTAGACAATCCACCAATTGTGTTTGAGGATCTTCGATCTAGAGCAGAGGCACTTTATTATGAAAGATTAAACATCTCGAAGACTCTCCAGTCAAAGGACAATGTGATCAACAAGCTTGACATGATACTTGCGTTTATAGCAGGATATATTGGTACAATCACCGTGATGATGATTCTAGGGATAAACTATACTGAGCTGCTTGCAGCAATAGTGCCCTCACTAATGGCATTCAGCTGGATCTTTTCTGACAATATCAAGGATATATACAACTGTTTTGTGTTTCTACTTGTGAGCCACCCGTACGACTTTGGAGATTGGGTGGTGATTGATGGGCAAGATTTGCGTGTGTCATCTGTTGATTTGATGTCATCGACGTTTATTGCAGCGAATGGAAGGTTGGTATATATACCCACAACGATTCTATTCCATACAAAGATACACAACATAAGAAGATCAGGCAAACAGTTCGATGAAGTCACAATTATTGTTGATAAGGCAACGCCGTTTGAGAAGGCACAGAGCCTGAGAGACAGTGTTGGGAAGTTGCTTTCAGAAAACAGCAAGTCATTCTCTGGAGAAATATACATCAAGAAAATTGAGGTTATTATGGAGAATGCTAAAATCACATTTGCAATACAACACCAGTCAAACTTCCAGGATGTTAAGAAGACACAGGATAAGCGTGAGGAGCTGATCACCATATTTGAGAGCGAGATGAAAGCACACGGGATCAATCACTTCAATTCGTATATATTTACCTAGTAGAGTGGTGCATGATAATACTGCATACCTCGATGTATAGACGAGGAGTAATAGATGCATAGAACATAATTTAGTGAGTGGATGGATTCAAAGCTGGATGCCAAAATGGAATGCCTGGATTTTAGGCGCCATGGTCCAGTGGTAAGATACGTGCTTCGGGTGCATGAGACTCGAGTTCGATTCTCGATGGTGCCCTGTGTTTTGGCACATCACCGATTGTTTTGTAGCAAGCTCTGATACAGTGCGATCATGTTACATTATGCCATTTGTTGTATTGTGCCTGATACACTGTGTATTAGATGTAGATTCATACAAAGCAGATACCCTACACTTGCCGATGGATTTTGGATGCCATCTGATTCCATGCGATCATGTGATTGTTAAAACACGGCACTCCTATGTGTTTACGAACATAAGGCCGTTTCTTCCAATGCACATACTTGTTTCTCCAATATCAAAGAAGGAGAGACTGCACGAGCTGAGTAGTGAAGAGACGTCAGATTTGTTCAATACAGCTCGCATCGCAATGAAGGCATTGAGATCAATGTGTGATGGGTTTACACTGAGTGTGCAGGATGGCCCATGTGCAGGGCAGTCGGTGCATCATGTGCATGTTCATATTGTTCCAAGAATCGCCAATGATCTTGAGAGAAACGACGATATTTATGAGGAAGGCGCACTTGACTCAGCAAGCAGACCTTCAAGAAGCTATGAAGAAATGAAGAAGGAAGCCATGGAGCTTAGAGAGGTATTTAGGCACTTTTTTGAGTCAGAAAGCATGTATTATGAAATGGACTTTGAATAGTGCATCACATGTTTATAAATTAATATTTTACCAACGATGCTTTGATCAACAATTTCTGCTTGACCCATTATGCTAGAGATCCCTGCTGGCACAAGGAGGGGTTTTTTGTATGCTAGAGATGACGAAATCTTACAAATATTCAAGAGCCGTTTGGACATTGAGCCTTTGTACACAGAGTTACATGAAGATCTAAAGGTAGTAGTGGTAAATGTCTCAGACAGCAATGCTCTGTGGATTGACAACGAAGATGCAACACCGACTGTTCCGTGTGTATTTCGGTGCATTCACGGAATAGAAATAGAACATACATCAATCAATATTCTGCCTCAGGAGGGATGGGAGGAGCTTGTGGATTGCTGGTCGTGCCATAATTGTGAGTTTAAGACTGTGCTAGATCTAAAGCCAAAGCCCAGAAAGGAAGGCATACTTGTTTCAGACTTCTTCTTGCTTATCAACGACATGGATCTTCCTGAGTGCTGTAAGAAGAACACGCCATGCATCAGAAAGCTGTTCTACAATGAACTTGTGCTTGATGGAATACCTGAAACTGCAATTATATACTCATATCTAAACACTTATTTCAAAACCAATGCTTCACTGTTTCTTGAGGTAAACCACAAAAAGTATGAAATCAGATGCTTCTATAAGGCAACGCTGGTTTCAGCAAATGATGATGCACTTGAAAAACAAGAATCTATTAAAGTTGGGATTAAAGAAACACACAAAAGATTCGAGTCCAGTAATAACATAAACCAGTTCTATTCACAAGCAATATGCAGTACCATAATGTCAAATAAAATAGGGATCAGTATGCTAGGATACTGTATATCTTTCATAATAAAAGGCAATTGAATCGACCTCTTTAATAATCTACTCATGTATATTTCGGTTATATTCCATAATGCCGAGAAGCATTGCTAGCCAAACACCAAACACTGGCTAAGTGATCTATCGGCGATATTTCACAAAGCATATCATGTAGCAATTGGCACATATGGCCCAATGCACTGCGTAACTCTGAATCATGCAAACAGCTCTATGATTGAAGTATCTGATACCCGGTCGTGTTGTGCTTCTTTTCAATTACTTTGAAAAGTTTCCTAGCTGCTCTTGAAATCTCTTTGTTGGTGCTATCAACCACAAGCGCAAAGTATGGAGAGCTCTTGACCAGGCATCTCTTGTACTCGTATACCTTTTGATATAATACCTGAAGTAGCTCAAGCATCATGACCACACGGTCTCCTTTCATGAATCCAAGAATTAAATTGTTTGTTGCCTGAATCTCATCGGCATTATGCTTCAACAAACTTCCTATACATCTTGCATATATCACATTTGCCTCATTGCAGTAAAAATCAAACATCAATCTCACCAACTTCCCGTGCTCAATTATATACTCTTCATCCCAATAGAGATAGTTCGTTACAAACACAATCGCCTCAATGTCATTATTCTTGGCATTTTCAACCATCACATGCATATAAGGCTTAAAAACTTCGTGGCAGATCGAAAACCCTGCATTCGATATTTCAAAAAACACCCTCCTTCTATTCTCATACACTTTCATCAACATTCCTGCCATATCATTATTAGAATTGCCCTGCTTTCCAAGGCACAGTAGAGCAGTTCTTACAATCAACTTGCTACTCAAATCCATAATATTCCGCTCAACAAACCTCTCAGCAATCTTCAACACTTCCAAAGAGACTTCCAGTCCAGGACTACTCATCACTTTATACAAAAATTCAGCATATCTGTTTTCAAAACATGACTCATATGCTTTGATTCCTCCAAGAATGAGGTGCCTGCCTTCCATGTCCTGCAAACAGCCTGCAATCTCCGGAAACCTCACAATAACATCCTTAACATACATCCCCATCACTCCTCCATACTTCTCGAAAAAAACTTGTACTGAATATTTCTTGAACTCAATCATGCCCGGAACAGCATAAGGAATATATCTTAGCAGATCTTGCAACAGGCCATTCCTAATCATTGTGTCCATAACCCCGCTTCTGAAATACACTGGCGACCTCAAAACCATCTCCATAAATTGATCCTCATCAATGCAAATACATTCATCTGCTGCTATCTCCTCAAGAAGATCAAGCTCTTCCTCAAAATTATTGCTATTATTAACAAAGTAATCAAAGCACCATTGCCTGCACTTCTCATGCCGTCTAATAAGTTCGATCAAAATAGCTTTTGTTGCACTCCATCCACCCGTTCCTACACACTTCATCAGATGAGGTATATACTTCTCATCAAGCAATACTGCAACCATTTCCCTCGATCCAGACTTCACAAGATCTGAGCAATACTTCACATACTCATCCATCTCTTCATCGCCTAGATCATATTCACACATCATTTTCATAAGCTCATTCACTTCCTTGCCATCCCTACCCCTTAGGACAGTGTATATGCCCTTCCTCTTGCACAGAAACACAAGAGCATCATACATCTTCTCTTCAAGACACTCGTCAACAACGTCCTCTTTACACACATACAGCCTTTCTAATACGCAATGCACCTCCTTTACAATCCCTTTCACATTCAGCACCAATTCACAGATATCCATCGTAAGCATTTCAGAATGCATTCTTAGCATCGAATAAAAAGCAGACGACGTGTGCCCAACTCCAACAATCTTCTCCACCACCTGATTCACAGCTCTTGCATCATCTACCCGATGCATATATCTACAAATAGAATCCAATAGCAATGCATTTATCTCCCCACCATACATCTTCTCAATCTCCCCTTTCAATTCCTCAGCTATCATCAAGCTTGTTTCAGAATCCATCTCTCGGCATGCATCCGTAAGATAGTCTAAATATCCAGGTATCACATATAGCCTCTCACCAACAATAAGCGGTGCCAGATCTATTCTAATCGCTCTTGATGTCACAATAATATTCTGTATCTCAACCTCGCTGCAGCACTGCCTCAAAAGCATCAGAATCATATCATTATTAAGCTCATTCACAAACACCTTTGCATCATAGCTTGTGTATCCAAGACACATCTTCATAATATCATGTATCTCTTGCTTCAAAACACTTCTCGGAATGCTCATCACCACCATTGAGTGGTTGCTTTCAGTCATCAATCCTCTCCATGCTTCAGGCAATAGCATTGCCAAGTAGGCCTTATCATCACTGCCCATGCACTTGGCCAACACCATTATCTCCTTGCCAAAACACCTGGCCAGCCTCTCAATCAATCTCTTTTTCTCACTCATTTCACTCAATAGGTTTGCATACTCCATTATCTCTCCTTCAACTTCATTCTTCACGCCCCCATACAAATCCAAAAGCACATTTAGCTCAATGCCAGTGTATGCACCATCGCGTACCTTTTCTCTTACCATCCATTGCACATATCGTTTACATCTCTCCATATTGCCCAGAACCTCTCTACCCTGTCCATCATCATGCATTTTCTTAAAATACGCATCTTCATCATACGGCTTCATTTCATCTGCTTCGCTTGAATCGTCTTGCCTCATATCAATGCTATTCAGATCAGCATACGGCTTCAGAACTTCAATAAACTCGTCGCATGCTTCCTCCACATGCTTCCTGACCTTACCATACACATCAGCTGCCATCCTCCATTCCCCCACTTCAACAAGACACGTAACAATCTCAAAAAACTGCATCGAAAAATCCTTCCCCGTCTTCCCTATCCCTGCATAAACATGCTCCAGAACATCTGCACAGAACACTCGTACATCCTTGGCATACTCAAAATACCCCGCAAAAAAATCAAAAAAATGCTTGTCCTTCAGACACATGTTCCCAACAAACTGGCATGAATGCACAGCCTGCTGCTCAAAGTAGCTAAACTCAGTCCTAATGCTCAATCGCAAAACATGCATATAGTACTTCTTAAACGGTAGGAGTGCAAACATCATCTCCTTCGCATTGAATGCATCGCACATATACCTCCTGACAAGATACTCAAACAAATACTCTATTCCTTTCATGTCTCCGTATCTTACCAGCTCTCTAATAAATTTCGAAAACTTCACATTGAACTTCGCTTCCTGCCTGCATGTCTGCCTCTGGCGATCAAAAGCAAGGCTCTTCGGTGTGGTATACTCCGTCGTTATCGGAACAAGATCAAGAATGCTTTCATCATCCAGATCGTCCGTCTCTCCAAACCTTAGCCGGTGCTTTACTTCTGCATGGATGGCTCTTCTGTTCATTTTCAACATTCTCAGCTGATTCTTCAACGACATAAGGGCATAGTGCTAACTCAATAAAACTCGTGTATCTACAGCACAAACAAACACTCCCGCACATACAATCCACAAAGCACTTCGATCAGACCAAAAATCTTTAATTACTCTTCATTCCACATCCCTGGCTCTGCCAAACAACATCCACACCGTTTTATTTTATTTCATCAACCACAATGTACTTATTACTACTTGTTGCATCTTGGTACTTCTTGCTCAAAAATCTTATCAGAACCACCCAAAGGCCAATTATAACAACCATCATCAGTGCCGACACACTCGACATCTTCCGAACATCCGTTGTGTCCCATATCCCCGTCATTGCCATGCATATGATCGACCCCATCGACTTTCCCAGCTTTCCGCAGAGCCCATCATACACCGCCTTGTACTTTGCCCTGTACCGAGGATCTAGCTGCATCGATATTGCTTCTTTCGACACATCAGATCCAATGTACTTCCCCAGCCTAAAAATCGCTATCGAAAGCATGCCCATGCCATTCTCAAATGCCAGAAGAGGTGTCCATCCGTTGAAAAGCGATCCAAACACAATATTTCCGCTCTGTGTTGCTCCTACGTTGTAGAATGCAATCAAGAAAATCGAAAACAGCGAAAATGCTGCTGCCGCCACAGGCATGCCTGCCACATATATCCATCCTCCCTTCTTGATCAGTGACGAGTATGGGCTGTTCACTACGATCAGTAGCGATATGGAAATTATCAGCTGCTCCATTCCGTTATAGAAGTTCGAGAGCGTCTCTCTTGACTTGTTTCCATACTTAGAGCTAGCTGCAAGCCCATTCTTGAATGTTGCATCGCATAGAGTCGATGCTATTCCGTAGAATAGTACCGTCAGTGATATGGCAATTAAAACCTTCGAGCTCAGCATGCCGCTTCCTGTATCCTTCTTAGACGTCCTTTTGTGCATCACATTTGCGCTCTTGATCTCCATGGTTGCGAACACTGGCACCGGCAGGATCGCTTTCTCCATGTACTTCTTCATCATTAGTATCCCAAGAATAATAGCTGCCGACACCAGCACAAGGATCTTGAATCCAATCTCCTTGACTTCAAACGTCACGCCGTCCCTCCACTTGTTAAACACAAGCGTAAGTATGGCTGAGCAAAAAATCGACAGTGCATTCGACACATTGTACACAGATATGTATCTCTGCGTCTGCTTACCTGTCGACACCTCGTTCGAAAACATGTGGAACAGATACGACGCAACCAGTGCGCCCCACATTTCAGAACACATAAAAAACAGTGACGATGTCCATTCGTTGAGTGCAAGAAAAACCGGAAACAAAAAGTGCGACCTTATCGACTCCATCTTCCCGTCTCCAAACATGTCTCTTGCCCAGTACAGGTCCATTTGGATCAAGTGCTTTAACGGCCACAATCCCAGCCCAAACACCACATAGCATCCAGAAAAACACATCAGAACAATATCAAACACTTTCGACGGTGTAAAGCGGTCAAGGCCTATCTGTATCATCCACACAAAGAAAATTGAAAACGGCGGCAGAAAGATCGACTTGATGAAGAAGATCGACATTGGATCCTGCCTGCCCATCACCACCATCTCCCTCATGTTTCCCATTATAGTATGAACCATCGTTATTACTCCGAAAAGGCCAGATAGATATAGCACCCGCGGCCATTCGCTCCTTGCGATCTTGATGTGCTTGAAAATTCCTCTCTTCTTATACACTGCCTCTTCAAGCTCGTCCTCCGTCTGAAAAGCATGCTCGTCCTTGGAGATAGACGACCGTGCCAAGCTCATTTGGGGTCGTACTACTCGCTCATAAAAACAAATCAGCCCAACTGTGCAAATATCAATACATTTATATTACCAGAAATGGTCGTGAATGCAATAGCACATGCACTTCTCTACACATGTCAGATCATATTAAAAACAACAACGCAATTACTATTTACAGTATAAGCTTACGATGTATTTCCATGCATACACAAATAAAGTATTGCTCCATATTTTCTCTGTGATCTCCATGTAATGTGGCATCTGATCTATAAGTCTGTTTGTGTCATTGAATCCGTAGCAATGTAAATTGACAAATTATTGTGCATCGCTGTATGAGTGTAAAAAAGCACGAATCAAGTAGCATAACTGATTCACACAAGACAAGCAATACAGGAAGCAGCACCTCTCGGTATGCTTATATTTATACTTCAAATGCACAAAATGCTGCAGATGGCTTGCAAAATGCAGTGGCTTCCGCGGCCAGTACCGATGAAAAAACATCAAAGAGACAGCTGAGTCTTGAAGACGTCTTTTTCAGCAATAAAGTTGCTTGCAATGAGTCTATGCAGAATAACTGCTCTGGCAAATGCGAATATTGTAAATTGGATCATGGCATAAGCACAAGATGGAGGCATCATCTGAAAGATGAGTTTGACAAACAGTACTTTGCGGAAATAAAGATGTTTCTTCATGAAAACAAAGATCATCTGCCTCCAGTTAGCAAAATATTCTCATTCATGGACTATTTTGAACTAGAGCACACAAAGGTTGTTATCATTGGCCAGGATCCATATCACAATGTTGGGCAGGCAATGGGATTGTCATTTTCGGTTCCTATAGGTATTCCAATCCCACCCAGCCTGAGAAATATATACACTGAGCTGGCACATGATATCGAGGATTTTGTAATTCCGACTCATGGCGATCTGTCAAGGCTAGCAGAGCGTGGTGTGCTGCTGCTCAATGATGTTCTTACCGTCACAAAAAACAAACCAAACTCACATGCAGATATAGGATGGAGGGTGTTTACAGACAGGATTCTACACCTGATAAACACTCATTGCACAAACGTCGTGTTCATGCTATGGGGAAAGCATGCACAAGCAAAGGGAAGATTCATAGATAGGCATAGGCATCTTGTACTGGCCTGTGGCCATCCAAGCCCATTCAGCTCAAAAATGTTCTTTGGATGCAGGCACTTCTCAAAGGCAAACAAATATCTCTCCTCACACGGAAAGTCCCCAATCAACTGGCAAGTGTAAATCACTTAAAGCCCACAATACATAAATAGCTTACTGGTTTATTAAAGCTGCTCTTTCTTCTCAGAAATCAAGTCGAGACCAATAAAGGTAGATGTCTGCACGGAGTTGCTATAGCTCTTGTTCAGATACATAATCATGTAGATCCATATCGGAAAGATCACCCCAAATATAGAAAGCGTAAACGGCGCTGCTGCCCTCACATCGTTATATCCCATAAACGACCAGAACATTGCATAGAATGCTCCTATTGACTTTCCAAGCTTTCCACTCAGCCCATCATACACTGCTTTCAGCCTTGCTCTGTACAGAGGATCAATCTGAAGAGAAATCGCCTCCTTCGCAATGTCATAGAACGCATACTTTGCAATCTTCATTCCACTCACGCAATACATTCCCCACTTTGTTTCAATATCAAAGTTCGGCGTGTATCCCTTAAACACCGACGAAAACAAAATCGGCTTGTATGTAGACCCGTTGGGATAGTTGTAGAACGCCGACCCAAACACAACTATGGCAGAAATCATCGCCACAATCGGTGGGACTATGGCCATCATCGCCCATCCGTGTGTCTGCACAAGCGTCGCAATTGGAGTCAGAAGCACAAACGCAACAAGCGCCCCAACAATAAGCTGCTCTCCAGACATCAGGTCGGACATATAGTCTCCCTTGTTCTTATTCTTCGCCTCCGCAGCTACAGTCAGCCCATTCTTCCATGACGACTCAATCCAGTTCGTTCCCGAATAGTAGAATAGCGCATTAAACACCATAGCAATCAAAAACTTCGACTGCGCCATCAGCTTAATACTCTCAGAAAAACTAGCTGCAGACTTCTTCCCCACCTTCTTCTTGACCCCCTCAGTCCTGATAAACAGCTGCTTCTTCAAAATCCCATTCTCCATATACTTCTTGATCAAATACGATATCCCAGTCAGTCCACCAAACAATACAAAAAACGAATTGGTTGCAAAACTCTTCTGCTCATAGTTCCATTCGCGTGATTTGCTCTGGTACGTCTTCCCCGTTCCTCCAGAAAGAATCAGGCATATATTCGACATAATGTAGAACAGCGGCGTAAACCTTAGCGACTGCCGCACTGTCAAAACTTCATTTGCAAACGCAAGAAACATAAACTGCACGATCAGCGACCCAAACAGCTCCGCCACCAAGTACACCAAACTCGTCAGCCACTCGTTCAGTATCAGCGATATCGCAAACAAAAACTCAAACCCCTTGCACGACATCTTCTCATCTGCAAATACATCTCGCGATCGGTACATACTCGGCTGAAGCCAGTAAGAAAACGGAAACCCTACTGCTCCCACCAAAAGAAACACCATTGCAAAACAAATCAGCGTGTAGTCAAACACCTTCGATATGCTATTCTTCATAAGCATCTTCTGCACTACCCCCGTCGCTATTATAGACACCGGCAGCACTACACACGTCTTCAAATACGATATCGCCACAGGCAGTTGCCTAGACGCCACAAACGAGTCTTTCAAAATCCTTGCAAACGAATACACATACACCTGTATTGCAAAAATCGCTGCCATCGATCCCCACAGCTTCCATTCGCAGCTGGCTATCCTGATCCTCGTTGCCGGCCATATCTTTCCACTGCACGCCTCTTGCTCAATCTCATCTTCCGTCTTTAGGCTCATCACATTCTCGTTCTTATCTGCTGCCTGTACAATAGGACTCGTCATTCCAGCTCCCATCTCTGGGGCTTTCTTTTTTCCATTTTTATCAATAAAAATCCATCTTCCTATCTTGGTAATGAGGCACCGTCCACTAAAACATCTCATCCATCTCATCATATCCACATTTCTGCTCCAAAAAGTGCTTGCTGGCGGTATGCAATCCAATACTCCACGCCGCATTGCACTTTGGTACCTCTCACTGCATTTGCATTTGCTTAAATTAAGCTTTTAAGTCCCATACTTCATATTTCTATATTAGGAAACACACTCCTGCTACCAATACCAATAAAACACAAAATTCTCTCCATGGCCGCTTTCAGCCCAACACTCATCCAATAATACAAAGCCTACAAGACCAATTTACTTCTCTGCTATCTCCTGCAGCACTCGATCAACCTCCTCGGCGCTCAGGTACTTCAATGACCCTCCCGCATTCATATAAGCAACTTCCATCTCAGAGCATATCGAATCGCTTCCAAGCGACTCAAGCAGCGCCCCAACCGCCAGCTCAACAAGCTCCCGGTCGTCTGCTTCTTCCGAATAGCTCTTCTCAATATACTTACTCATTTTCTCATGCTTCTCTCCGACCACAGTTGAATAGCACGGATAGTAAATCGCAGACATGTCGGTCTGATAAATCATCGCTTTCCTTCCATGAAACCCAAATATAGACGCACTAAATGCTGCTGGCCGTTCTGCAGAACTCTGTATCAACTTCTGCATCTTGTCTGCAAACTGCATGCATAGAATATCAGGCGTCACTTCAAATCCAAGAGAAAAAGTCTCCCTGTTCGCAATCATTTTCATCCTCTGCACAATATACTCAACATCTCCAGGAAGCCCTGTAATCGACACAAAGCACCGCTCAGAAACCCTTTCAAAATTCGACAGGCACTCATCCTCAAGCTTGTCTTGGATAATTCTCTTTGCTGCACACACAATCATGTCCTTCGACCTAACCGTGACCACAGGCAGCGAATGATTCACAGCCTCAAGTCCATACTTAATCTGAGGAATCTTTCCTTCGCTGTTAAACACATTCGAAATCTCTTCCTGTGTTGTCATCAGGGGCTCTGCCCTCATTTCATAAACTCATCATCCAAAACACTAGCCTCGCAATTCTATATTACTACTGATTAATCCTACCTCATGCAGTGCTTTCAAAGCCCATGCACATGAATAAAACACAAATCATAACAACGAAATACAATCATGCGAATATCCGATGGCCATGCATGTACCTAAGTGCATCAAGAAGAAGCCATTAGCCACCCCTACAAATGGCTGCAGTTGATCTTTCAGGAAAGGTTGTATGTGTGACTGGAGGAAGCAGAGGGCTTGGGCTCGAGATCACAAAGGAACTCCTGAAGCGAGGAGCGCATGTGCATGCTATAGGAAGGTCTGCACAGCCATACTTCCATCCAAATCTCAGCTACCATCAGATGGATCTGCTACTCCAAAAGCCTGACCTCGGCACTCCATTCGATATTGTGATCTCAAACCTTGGCACAAGTGTTGGCAACAAAAGATTCTGCGATATGGAGTACCAGGAGATCACAGACATGCTACACATGAATGTGGAGCTGCAGTTATGGCTGCTGAAAAACATCCCGCACACAAAGTTTGTGTTTGTCAATTCAGTGCTGTCCCAGCAAGGCCTACCTGAATATTCCATGTACTGCGCATCAAAGGCATTCATCCACACACTCAATCAGTCGCTACGACGAGAAGGTAGAGATACAGTCATCATATACCCATACAAGATAAACACAACGCTGTTCAACGAAATAAGAGACGTGTGGGCACTCGATGCAAAGGCAGTCGCAACCAGGGTTGTAAATGACATCGAAAACGGAACAAGGGAAGACTTCATGCCGTGGATATTCGGCCCCATCAGCCACATCTTTCGAATCATGCCTCTCTCTGTCCAAGACCTTCTCGCAAGGATCATAAAGTCTTTATTCTATCCACAGATAAAAAGAAAACAAGTATAAATCTATGCTAATTATTTATTGCTATAATACTCGTGAAACAGCGTTCTTCTTTTGTAACACCTGGCAGTCTAATACCCAAGCCATCTAGATATATCCGTTTCTCCAGAGGCTTCTATAAACTTCAGGTACATGTGCAGATCCATACTGCCGAAATGTACGTCCATAGCCATCCTTCTGGTCAGAAAGATAGTCTGTGGTGTAGAGAATACCAAGATTTGCAGGCTTCAGCAGCTCCTTGCTTTTGACAACATTAAATAGAAATGGCGGCTCAGCAGCTCTCATGTACGCCTTGCCCCAGTCTACTCCATCAAAAAATGGATGCTTCCTGATATCTGCTGCATCGCTATCCACATATCCAAGCCGTTGCCTTGGATCAATCACAAGCAGTTTCGATATCAAGTCTTTGGTGCATGCATCAAAAAACACCGGGAAACGGACTTTGCCTTCCCTCATCTTTGCAGCTGTTGAAGCCATGTCCTGCGATGCAAACGGAGTAATTCCTGCAAGCATCTGGTACATAACTATGCCAATCGACCAATAATCTGATGCACAGGAGAGATTCCTGCCATTAAGGTAATCAACAGATGCATACTCAATGTTGCTATCTATCCCTCCAACAACACTGTCTATTTCGTTCAGAAAACTGTACTTCAGCTTGATATGCCCATCGTCCCCTACCATTATGTTGCTAGGCGATAGAAATCCATAGCAAAGCCCTTTGATATGCAAATACTGTATTGCAAGCACAATCTCTACTATGTAGAACCTGCATGCTTTCTTAGATATCCTTCCCTCAGCTCGTATCAACTCCATTAAATAGTTCCTTGACTGCTCCTCAACAAGAAACAAATGCTCATAATCCTGAAAGCCACATACCGTATTAATCAGAAACGGATGCCTAATCATGGATCTAACCACATACTCGTGGTCAACCATTTCCTCCTCTCCATACTCTATTATCTTTTTCTTCTTCATCACTCGTAGGCAGTACATCCCGCCGAGGATGTCCTGAATCTCTACAAACACAAGAAACTCTTCCCAGAACGGCCCAAACGATATCTTCTCAACACACATGATGTCTTGCTTCCTTATCATTATGGGTCTACCAACTGCTTTGCCATATATCCGCATGTATTGAGTTTAGATTTACAAATGCTGCCTAAGAGTGATTCCTTCCTGTAGGCATCATACCACACTTATTATTCATGTCTTCGATCGCATTGCACTCAGAATAACTCTTAGGCAGCATCATCAAAACTTACTGCACAAATCAGGACTCCGCTACTTCTCATTGCCTCATGAAAAAAACACTCTGGCTGCAAGACTCAGGATCGATCCAAAACCAGGCAATCCACTTTCGTTAGAATCTATGTGCTTTACATCCTTGTCCATCAACCTTCTTGCATCGTCATAATCCCTGATCCTACACTTGTTGATTTCCTCAACTCTTCCTTCGTACTTCCTTCCTGCATTCCATGAAAACATGTTTCTGCCCACAAAAATCGCTTTCTGAACTTCCTCAAACGCCTTATGAAAATCTTTCCCTGTATAAGACATTAATGTTGGCCTAAAGTCATTTATGCCTGAGAAGTATAAGCTGTGCAAAAAGTTCAGCAATCCAAACAATCCTGTCTCTGGCTCTCCGTTCCATCTATTCAGCCTCAGAACATTCTGTGAAAAGTCAGAGTGATACTCATTGTCCTTCGTGCATATCACCACAACCTTTTCCAACGGCCTATTCAGATGCTTCCCTTCAAGCCTCTTTTTGTCCCTGCAGTAGACCTTGTAAGAAATACATCCATACGGATCCATTTTGTGCATCATCATCCTATCAAACAGCGTTGATGACTCAGACACATGGATCAGCTCATAAAGATGCGCTGCATGGAATAGAAAAACATCGGCAAATGCTCTTCTTGACACAAAAAAGTCCATGCTGAATGGCCAAAACCTTTTGTTCAACAGAAGAGTCGAACTATCAAACATCAGGGCAGGTCTGTTCTGCTCTTGCTTCGGAATCGTTGCAACCGCATCCTCCTCCCCAGATATTGCACTCCAGACACGCTTCCCTGCTCTCCTTATGTATCCAGCTGCTAAAGTCCCATCACTCACATCCGAACATTTCCTCCTGCCAAGGAATCCAATTCCAATCCCTAGCGATATAAGCATTGGCGTTATCCTAGGCATGCTCTGCTTACCGGCTTTCTCAATTAGTGTATTTAGTATCCTTTTTGCATAACGCATTAAGGGTTGCTAATGGGCCAAACCTGTTCATCTCCTGAGGAATGCTGCAATCTGGTTAATTGCATGAACAACCGATGTCCGCACCGATCCTATGCTGCTCTTCATGCTTCGCTCGAAGATTCTCGATGCATCCGCTGCTGAGCAGTCAAGCAGCAGCCTTTCTGCCACAAATCTTGATGCTTCGTCTAAGTCCAGCTTGAATATCCCACTGTTGACTAGCAAGCACCAGAACACGATGATTCTGCCATATGACCTTCTTATCTTGAGAAAGGCATCGACAGACTTTGCAATGAATGCATCATACACTCTGGTGTCCTTCTTGAGATATTTACATATTCGCCTACAGATGCTGATTTTTGCACAAAAAGGCTTTGGATCATTCCCAAACACATAGCTGAAATCAATATGCAGGAACGATCCATCTGCAGTCACCATCATGTTGCCTGGGTTTCTGTCTCCAATCCCCAGTACATAGCAGATGACAGTGTATGTGCTCAGTGACTCAATAAATACATCTGAGTGTGTGCCGATGTATTTTTCAAGTTGGCTACAGCTGTGTATCCTTGAAAAGTCTACTCCTTCCACAACCTGTACCAATCCCTCAGTCCTACTCAATGGAATAACGGTATATGTCACTAGCTGGATCTGCAACAGCATTGAAAAATACCTGACTGTCTCAAGAACAAACATGTCTGTTGTCAAGTCATCGCCTTGCTTGTATATTGTCTTGCACATGCTGCTTGCAGCTCTTAGCAGCACAAGAATGGGAAAGGTCGATGATGCAAACACTGTTGTTTCCTGGACAAGAATTTCGTCTACTATGCGTACAGGAGCAAATAGTGACGAGAATGCACCTGTGCTTGTATGTCTGTGCTGAAAGTACAACGATCCATGCAGTTTATATTCGCGCTGTTTTTTTGTCTTGTGTGCTCCTTGGGATGTCATTCTGTATATCTTGCGGATCTCGTTGATCAGGCGCAGTTGGCCTTCCAGTGTGTCAAGCACCAGATTGTCGATCTTGTGCCGTGCAAACTCGCATATTGCATTTTCATAGACGCCGTCATGATCTTCATGATGCTGACCGTGTGCTATACGAATGCCGCATGTGCTGCCGGGCCGCCTTGCATTAAACAGATCGCATTGCTGTAGGCATTTGAATCTAATAAGCCAGAATCTGGATATTTGATGCTCAAGTTGTAGCTGCATGCTTGTGCTGTATCTAAGGATGAATGAAAAGTAGATGTGCATAGTAGGGAGATTGTCAGCATCAAGATACTTAGCAAGCCCATCGATGGCATGCTCGCATCCGCTATCCAACAGCCTACGAATACTTTCGATGAATAGTTCGGTATTTGTGACGCCACGGCTTAGTATGCCATCAATAGACTCAGTGCATCTGTGCATCAGTGTTTACCATACCGTTTGATATATGATATATTGCCGACATGAAACGGTTGCATCATCGGTGCATGACTGATTTGTCTTTCGTATGTATAAACTTGCTTGCACAGGTATTTCAGTGTCTTGAGTAAACCCTTCATGAAGCTTGAGCCAGGAACAGTTGAGGCACTGTACAACAGCCAGATAAACAATCCATTGTACCGAAATCCTGTACTTCAGATAACATCGCTGGGGAAGCTGTCGGTTGTGATTGGAGACAAGCAAAGATATCGTGTCAACCTGTCTGATGGCGTAGGATACATGAAGGGCATTTTTTCAAGCGAGCTTACGCATTACTTTGAGCAGGGGCTGATCAGCAAGTTGAGCCTGATAAAGTCTGGCAAGTTTAGCGTGAGGTCGAAGGATGGAAATGTGTATATATACATTCAGGAAATTCTTGAGTATGAGGACTGTAATGTAGAGATAGGAAAGCCTGTCAATATAAGCACGGGGAATGCCTCGTTCAGTGACAATCAAGCAAGCCCAGGGCCTAGTGTGCAGAAGAGTAGATTGCCTGTGGCGCAGAATCACAAAGAAGACATTGGATATGGCACTGAAAAGAAGAGGCCAAAGGCCGAGAGCGCTGATGATGGATTTACACCAATCAACATGCTGAATCCGTTTCACAACAAATGGATTATCAAAGGAAGAGTAATGGCGAAGAGTGACATAAGGAGATTTACGAATCAGAAGGGGGAAGGAAAGCTGTTCAACTTTGAGGTGTCTGATGGAAGTGCACAGGTGAAAGTAACGTGCTTCTCGGAAACAGTGGATGTTTTCTATCCGATTGTTGAGATAGGAAAGGTTTACTCCATTGAGAAGGGAACGATTAAGATGGCAAACAAGCAATACACTACGAATCCATTTGACTACGAGATTGTTCTTGACAAGAACTCTGAGATCAGGCACGCTGATGATGATGGATCGCCAAGATATTTTTTCAACTTTGTTAAGATCTCCGATCTGACTCCAGAGATTGCCTACTGCGATATGATTGGTGTTGTGAAGGATGTGTATCCACCGTCCACTGTGCTGGTCAAGAGCACACAGAACGAGCTTCTTAAAAGAGATGCTGTTATTGTTGATGAGAGTGGGAGCGTGAGGCTAACACTATGGGGAGCAAAAGCGGATCTTGACATTGAGAGCGGGATGGTGCTTGGAATGAAGTCTGTGAAGGTTAGCGATTTCAATGGGGTTTCAGTGTCTACGGCAGGAAATACTCAGGTCTTGATCAATCCGGATGTTTCTGAATCACATGAGCTTGCAGGATGGTACCAGGCAGTGGGCAAGGATGTCCAGATAGTGCTTCCTAAACGAGAAGAAAAGAGAAAGCTGATACAGGAGGTGAAGGACAACGAGTTGCAGTATTCGAGCATCCAAGGCACTGTGATGTTTCTGAAAGAGGATGGGGTGTGGTATGCATCATGTCCGGGAGAAGGATGCAACAAGAAGGTTGCTATGGAGAGCAACGGATGCTATAGATGCGAGAGGTGCAATATGGCTTATGAGGAATGCAACTACAGATACATGGTTAGCATGCATCTTGGAGACTTTACTGGGCAAATGTGGGTGAATTTGTTTGATGAGGTGGCAACAAGCTTCTTTGGAATAACAGCAAAAGAAATGAAGACGATGAGTGAGGAGTCGCCGGCTGATCTCCAATGCTTGATCAAGGGGGTGTACTTCAAGGAGTATGTTTTCAAGGTCAAGTCAAAGCAAGACAACTACAACGATGAAGTCAGAATGAGATACACAGTATTGAATGTAAGCGAGTTGGATGCATCAAAGGAAAGCAAAAGGCTTCTTGATGTAATTGAAAAGATTTGATAATAAACATTCACTATCACAGATATTGCTTGTATTTTTAAGTTACACACTCCCTCGGCATGCAATACACAAGAATTAGCAAGATGGTTAGAGAAAAAATAGTGGAATCACACGAATTCAAAACGATGAGATCATTAACATACAACAACCTGGTCAATGAAATATGCAAGCTTCATTCAATAGGTGGCATGATCAGGAACACTCCACATAGATTTATATGTCTCATCCATAAGCTAGACTCGATCTCTTTGATTGATGATGTTGTTGCCGAAACCTTGGAAGGCATGAAGCCTCAGCACACAGGCTCATCATTAACAGCTAATGACTTCAAGGGAAATGTGTATCTCGTGGCTGCATTTTTATTCTACTTGAGGCTATCTGTGAACTTTCATCAATACAAAGACCTGATAAAGTATTTCGAAGCAGACTTCAGGAAAATCACCGTTGTCAACGAACAAAATACAAGATTTTCCATGTACATGGATGTGTTTGTGGATGATTTGCTTAACAAGCCCAGGATTCTTGGCGTCTGCCTCCACATCTAACTAAATATATCACAAAAGTGTGCATCTAGATAAATTGTCCTCGCACATCAAGTGCAGGCCAAAGACATTGATCATAAGCCATAAATTTAATGTAATGTCTCAAGTCTTCTGAATAATTCGCTCCGTGTTCAGAACACTAAACATCGTACTTCTCTGCTTCTCAGACATCTCATGAACAGTCCTACTTGCATACGATCCAGGCATAGGTTGGCTCAGTATGGATGATATATATCCAAATGGCTCAAAATGATCTAACGACGTCTCAAAGTATATGTCCTCTTCCAAGAAGACATCTCCATAGCTTCCATCGCTTGAAACATACTCTTCTTCTTCGCCACACGACTCATCCACCTCTTCGTTCTCCTCGTCCTTCATCTGATTCCTTAGCTTGATTGCTGCCGGAAGCGACGTCACAACAGCCATCATAAATCCAATAAATCCTTGCACATCCAAATCAGGAATCTCGCCTTCCCTCAGCCCACATACTGCTCCAATAAATAGCATGCATATCTTCTTGTCATGAACCCTCTTAAAGTTGTTACGCTGTGTAAACAGATTCCTTAGAATCTCCTCGAGCCGCTTCTGCTCTGCAAGAAGCCTTATGGTGTCTTTTGGCCGCAATATAAAGCTGTTCATCACCACCTCAAGCAGATAAACCATTGCTGTTCCTCCCTCATCAACCATCGATAGTCCAGAAACTGCAACATTCAAGAAAAACTCCAGTCTGGACGGATCCGCATTCACCACTTCATTGCCTATGTTCAGGATAATCGACTCAATGATCCTGCATCCATCCATAAACTCATCCTCATAGAAATTCTCCTCATTGCATAAGCAGAACTTCGATATCACGGAGTATATCCCCGTTAAAATGCTTGTGTTCATCACGCTTTCCTTCCCATACGTCACAAAGTTGTCTATCAGGTCTGCAACATTCGACGAATATATTGCGATATCATCAATGGGAAGATTCAGGACCATGTGGAACAGCCCCCACATCGATCTTTCTATCCTCTTGATCATAAACACATACCCATTCAGAATATCAAGCATCTCCTGATAAAAGTCCTCCTTCCCCTCATTCAGTATAAAGTACAGAACATCATACGAATTCATGTATGCATGCTCCAAAACCGCAGACCCATGGTCCAGCGACAGAATAAGGCTCTCTATATTCCTCAGAAACCCCATCACCAGCATCGCCTTCTCCTCGCTAAGCTCCTCACTGCTTGATAGGTGTGTAATAACAATCCCAGAAATCGACCTCACAAGCTCGGGCGCATACTTCACCATCTCCTCAGGATAGTACTCGGTAATCGTATCAAGTAGAATCGTCAGTGGCTCAAGATCATACACATTCAATAGTCGCAGTATGCTTTCTAGCACAACAGGTATCAGCTGCTTAAACTTCTCGCTCGCCACCTCGTTCGACATAAAAAACGACATCGCAAGCGTCGCCTCTACATACAGTACACGATGGTTCGACATCATCAATCCATGCACTTCATCCAGCAGCCCAATCGCCTCGTTTCCAATCGGTAGGTCCTCCTCAATCATCGACAAAAAATAGCATGCTTGCGACTTCAACACCAAGCACTCCCCCCTTAGATTAGGAATCACATGGTTCATCATCACATACACAAGCACATTCCTTGCCTTCTTCATAAGAGTGCTCTTGATGCTCGCCAGCAGAAAAAACGATCCATAAGCCATCCTCACATTCTCCTTGCTTGGATTCTCCTTGCAATTGTCCAGCACAGACACAAGGCACTTCAGCATCTCATTAAACTTCTCATCATTGTTCTTCATCCTCGACACTATCTCTCGGAACAGCCCGTTCAAGTTGCTTCGCAGCGTGCTTCGGAAGTACCCATACTTCTCCCGCAGGTACTTCTCTCCATCCTTCTCAAAGTCCTCTTCATCCGTTTCAGACAGTGAATACACAGACAGTATATATCCAAACACCAAATACGGGATATCCCTCTCCACATACTCGCCAAACGTCGTATCAGACACAAGCAGTGTAAAAAAATCCACCGCACACACCTCAATCCCTTCTCTCAACTTGCTTCTTTCCTGCAAAACCTTCAGAAACATCGGATATACCTCGCGAAGCCTATTCACATCCTTCACATACTCAGAAAGCTCGTTGTTCTTATAAAACTTCTTCAGCCCCTTGCTGTACTCCCTGTACAAAAAATTCGCTGCCAGCTCCTTGCATTCAAGAACTCCCTCAGCCTCGTTGTTCTCCAGTCCCATCGTTCGCAATGCAAGCCCAAACACGTAAGAAAACGCCTCTATGCACGACAAGTACTTCGGAATCGAGTAGTAGCAGTACGACTTCACCAGCACATTCAGCCCAACCTTCAGCATCCCATAATCCCCTATCTCAAAAAACATGTGCACCTTCTCAAGAATATCCCTGCCAGATCCTCCATATATCCTCTCCAAAATATTCTCTATGTTCGACCTAATCTCATCCGCATCAAAAACCTTCGAGTACATATTCAACGCCGTATACACATGATTCACATCAGGAACCTTCAGAAATCGCGACGCCTTCTCAAAAAGCACCTCAATCCGGTCAAGGCTCCTCTCCTTGTTGAAAATATGCACAAGAATCGCATTGTACGACACCCTCGTCACATCATCTCCATACAGAAACATGTCAAGAATCTCCTCAATCAATCCATTCTTCGCTAGTGCATATGCATCGCTGTTCCACTGATTGATAACTGCATTCTTGAAATAAAGCGAAGACACCTTCTTCACTACCACATTCGTGTCCATCATACTTCCCCTCACCAGTGACATCACAAACACCGGATCTTTCTCCTTCTCCATCAAAATCCTCTCCGCCTCATTCCTCTTACGCGAGTCCAGATCAATCGTCTGAAGAAACAGACCACAAGCTTCTTCGTTCATATGGGCACTAAACATTTTTGAAAAAATCTTCATCCATCTTCACATCCACACGCCCATCCTACACATCCATTACTCATCAGTCAAATGCTTTTTATTGACTTCTCTCTGCAACTATCGTCGAATCAATCATGATAATCGACAATGCTGCACTAAACGATGCTTTGACCATGTTCCTCTTCACCTCCAATGGCTCATACACTCCAAGCTCTTTCATATCTCCAACCCCGCACACACATATTCCCATCGTCTCCTGCCCATTCGCATGCCTTTTCCTCAGATCCTGAACTACACTTATGGTGTCCAGCCCAAAGTTCTTTGCAAGCAGCTGAGGTATCTTCTCAAACGCCTGCGAAACCGCCTTCGCAACAAACATCTTCTTGTTGCAATACTCAAGCGACTTCTGCCTAACTGCCCAGGAAAGCTCCATCTCCATCGACCCTCCTCCAGTCACCACCTTTCCTGTTTTCAGCGCAACCCTGACCGCACATATCCCATCATGCACCGCCCTTCCGACCTCCTCAAGAACCTCATTTCCAGGCCCTCGCAGTATCATAGTGCATGCATTCATACTTCCTCCTTGCAAGAAGTTGTACCTTGCCTTTCCAACCTGCCGCTCCTCAAAAAGCGTGCATCCTCCCACACTTCCCTCCAAGTACTCCGTCGATCCAAGAATGCTTCCTCCACACGACCTAACTACCCTGCTAAGATCGTCCTTCATCACCCTTCCTGCACAAAACACCCCATGCCTTGCAAAATACTGCGTTGCATAATCCCCAATCGGCAACGAGCTTAGCACTACATTTGCTCCGCTGTCTAAAATCTCATCAAGCTTCCTTCTGATTATTGCCCACTCCGCATCAACCACCTTCTGATACTCAGACACATTCCCAACCCTGATCTCCGCATTGTCTCGCTCGCTCTTCCATTCAAGCTCAACATTCAAGCACAACACCCGTGGATTCACTATCCTCTTTGGCTGTTGCTCATACCCTGCATACGTAAAGCACTTCTCAAACGAAATCCCATCAACCACAAACGAATCCCCAATGCTACCACCCTGCACTTTCTTCACCCCAATCGACTCGTTGTCATCCGCATCAACAAGCCGCACTGTGTCAACTATCATCTTTGAAAAGTGCTTCCTTTCATTCCTTATGCTTTTCGACGTAATGCACGTCTCTCCCAATTTGTACAGCATCTCTTCAGACGCCTCCACTCCTAGCCTATCTAGATGCTTCACGCACAATGCCTGCAGCTCTTCAAGACATTCTCTAATCACTCCAAGCTCAAACCCTTCTTTTATCAGAGGCTTCAGACTATCCAGTATCTCGGCAGTTAGTATCACAACACTTGTTGTCCCGTCTCCAACCTCATTATCTTGTGCCTCAGAAAGCCCTACCAGTAGCTTCCCAACAGGATGCTTCACATTCATCTGCTTCAGAATCGTTGCTCCATCATTCGTAACAACCATCTCCTTCCCAGAAAACAGCTTGTCCATTCCATACGGTCCGAGCGTGCTTTCAAGAAACTCCGCTACCTTCACACACACATCTATGTTCGATACTACCTGAAGACGCCCCTCTCGAGGATCCGCTATTCTTTCCGTTTGCACAAAAAGCTGGTTCATGCCTGGGCTCAAAATTTTCATGCTGGATAAACACATGCACAGCACATCAGAAGAAAAGCTCTTGCTTGAATACAAGCCAAGATGCTTCAGCACCAGCAATTATACTCAGCGTATAAAGCCATCCGCTGAAAAAAAGTCGAGAAGACCCGGCCCATTGTTCAGAACAGACCTCCATAGAGTGCTTGAGCACAAACCCCACTTCACCTTCTCAAGCTTCCTCAGAAAATTCATCAGATAAAATTAAACTAATAACACCACAAAACAGAACCAATCATCACATCTTCATTAACACTTCAGGTATCTATTCTACAACGATATATCAATGTCTTTAGATACTCCTCATTCCACTCATCCTTGCTTTCTGCATAGAGAATAAGGTCCCTTATACTCAAGTCAGGATTCATGCTCGCCATCCTCACATGGAAGTCTATCAATTCGTCATTAACTCTGGCTGCAGAAAGAGCGTATCTTCTGATCTCTTCCTTCGATATATCCATCTTACAAAAAACGAGTCTTGTATCATCAACCAATCGATGCCTCTGCCCCTCATCAATCGTAAATATAAACCTGCAGTTGCCTGTCTTCTTCACATCTCCAAGAAAATGAATGTTCTTCACAAAGTAGATCTTCTCCTCGGCACATACCTCACAAAGCATTTCAAATATTCTTATATTGCTCTCAGCACTTCCTGCAGATATCGTTTGCGATACATTAATCTCTTTCTCAATGGCATATATAATCTCATCGCATGCCATCATTAATGTATAATCAAACCAATCATCCTTTATCTCCATTACTACATCCAAGCTTCTTCTCTTCGATCCACGCTCCATCCCTGAATAAAAGCACTCTGTATATTCACGCATCATCTTTTCCACTTCTCCCATCTTGTCATTCTCAAATAGCCTTAACACCTCATGATCACTTCGTATTCCTTCGCATACCTTCATGTACATCACTTTCTCAACATACTCCTTGTATATCCTGAATGAAAGCCTCATTGCATATTGTTCAAAAAAAGATTTGCTCTTCTCATCAAACATCCCATTAAGCATTGCATACATCCTCTTCCTGCATGCATTCTGCTTCTCCTTTTCCCTTGCTACATCCATCCTCTTCTTCTGCTCAAATATCTCACTCAACGCGCCATTCCCTGTAATCAACTTAATCAGGCTCTCCTCCATCTCTTCCAGATCTGTCTCTTCCTCAACTTTGAATCGCTCTTCGCTATTGCACATGTATGTGTATTCTGTATACATATTCCTATCATTCGAAGACACAAGTATCAGCATATTCCTTCGGCTCCGCATTTGCTTCTTCAGAGCTTTGTACACCTCCCTATCAAATATCTCGCATCCATACACCACAACACCATTCCCATACTCTTCGCTGCTCATCAAAACTTGTCTGTAGCCTTTGTCTCCAATACGCGTGCAAACATACCTTCGCCCCTCAACTACTCTTTCAATGTCGCAATCTCGCACAAACACATTCCTGACATGGTCAAACATCCATTCATTGCTGCTTAGCATATAAACTATCGGGCATTCATACTTGCTCTTCCTCCATCTCTCAATCTCATCACTCAATGACTGCACAACCCAATCAATCTGCCCAACCTTCGTATCAATCATTTCAATTTCCGCCTTTATGCCTTCAAGCTTGCATTCAAGCTCCATATATTCATTCTTCATCCCGTCAATCATTTCTTCAACAGCTCGCAGCCTCTTCTCTTCCGCATTCAGCCGATCCTGACTGTTCACTATCTTGCATTCTATCTCTCCTATCTCATCTTTCAGTGGCTCGATCTCCTGCAAAATCCTTGCATGCCGATGCTTTGCTGCAACCCATGAAAACAAAAGTCCACATGCCTTACTCGCCTTCACCGCCCTTTCATATGTAAATCCAGGATCATCCATCAGCTTCTCCAGCATAATGCAAACACACACATCACCACAATTCATAACTTTTGCAACAAAATCCTCTCCTTTCATGTACTGGACAAGCCTCTTCCATTCAACACGCCCCTCCACTCTACTCCGCCCTTCAATCAGTAAAAAAACCGCTTCCACCGTGTTTTTGATTATCTCTGGCGGATTGTTCATGGCTTTGATCTCAGACAGGTTTCCTTTCGACATCTCCTGAACTCCCTTATACGACTCCTCAAGCAACTCTCTGGCATACCCAAGCTTCTCATCAACTATCCTTCTTCTTTCAATGCTCAGCTCAAGAAACTCATCAATTTCTCGTCTTTTGCATTCAATACTCCTCCTTTCATTCTCCATCCTTAACTGCTCCTCTGCTATCTTTCCAAGCTTCGCATCAATGATCTTTCTCAGGTCCTCCAATCCTTCCTTCTTTACTGCAGACTCCTTTCTCAACAGCTTTACTTCTCTTTCAAATTCCTCAATCTTGATTATTCCGTCGTCCAAAAACTTTCTTCTCTTTGCCTCCCGGCACCGGAACTCTTTACTAATCTTTACAAAACACATTCCAAAATCAATCGCTTTGCAATAAGACCTCATGCTTACCACACTGCAATGCTTGCACCCATCTGGATGTCTTGCCACAACATCTTCAGTCTCAGGTATCTCAAATACCTGCTCAAATATATTGCCTCCCAAAAACACATCAATATCAATTCCCTCCTCATCTACAAACGAACTCTTGATTTTCTCTATGTAATCACTCCCTTGCTCCTCTCCAATCATCGAAAAAAGCTTCTCCAAGTCTATCGAATACCTCAACAGCCTCTGCAATTTCAGTACAACGCTTTCATCTGCAACTTGCTTATCCAGCAAACATCCACTTTCAGCAAAAATCACCACCTGCCCATCAGTATCCTTTTCCTCCACACATTCTATCATTTTTACATTCAAATCCAGCCTTTTCAAGCATTCCTCTACTAGCCAATGCTTTCCACTCATTTTCGGTCCTTCAACCACCAGGCTGTATCCCCGATGTAAAACACATCCAGCAATAGAAACCTCCTTCAATCCGCAATGCCTTCTAAACTTCTTGCTTTCTAAATCAAATCCAACATCTTCAGGTACAATTCCAAATATCTTCTCTATCTTCTCCCTCAATCCATCTACTATTCCAAAATGTATTTCTGCCTCAAAGTAAATCAAATCAGCAATTTGCCACTCCTCATTCAAAATATTTCCAAGCATCCTAATAAACCTCACCATCTTCTTAATCGACACATTCATCTTTCTATATACAAACATTGTTCAAAACCCTATCAACACATTCCTGCACATCTCCATCACAAACACTAAATCCACATATCATTATCAATCCAATTATCCTTATCCCTCCTATTCTTCCATACTCACTATACTCCCTTGCTATCTCAACTGCATTCACACTCTTCCCGTCCATCCCATAAATATACACCATAACTCTCCATTCATGCACTTCCTCTCCATCAGCACGCCTTATCCTCTTTCCATCAGCCTTATCCATCAACTTCTCAACTGTAAGTCCATGTGCACACACATATATAGCTCTTTCTCCAAATAACTCTTGAACCAATGCTTGCTTCCCAACTCCTTCATCTCCTCGGATAAAAATCACCCTTTCGCCTCTCACAAGCTCCAAAACACATCTTGCATAAAAACTTAGCTCCTTCGTTCCGATCAGGTTCACAAACTCATATTCCTCAACATCTCTCCCTTCATACCATATGCATCTTCTATTCATTTCATATCGCTCTTCCATGCCCATCGCATTCTCTATCAAATCCCCGCCCCTTTCAACATATACAATAAAAACTCTGGTAAGTGTCGCTGGCGTCACATCCTCAATACACACACATTCAAATACAAACCTGAAATTCTCGGGAATCCTTATTCTTTCCCCAGAGCTTAGGCACAATAACTTGCTCATGTCAAGAACAGAATTAAAGTCCTCCATCCAGAACGACTCAATTGGACCATCAAACACAAACCAGTATTCGTCTGCAGAACTGCTACAAAGACATCGCCTCAGGTCTCGCACAAAAATCCCATCGTTCCAATCTCCAGTAGCATCGTCATATCCTCCGAACACAGATATCATGTTTTTTGGGTTATAGTAGAAACATCTTGCATTCCTCATCTTGCTTGCCTTCTTGATCACTAGGCTCTTTCCAACCCCATTTGCTCCAAGGACAAGCGCTGCTCTCATGCTGCTCAGCCCATGCACCAGCAGATCCTCATATCTCAGGCCTTTTTCAATGTCTCTATCAAACACCTCCTTAAACTCTCTCAAAAGCACTTTCCTGTCTGCATTATCAAATGAGGACATATAGAAACGCGCCATACATTCTGCAATGCCTGTCCCAAGTCCTCTTATAGCTGTTCGTATCGCTCTCAGCCCAAAGTCATAATGCGCTTTCTTACTTGCACTGCATTCTAGTCTGCAGATCAGCTCATAAACCCTGGCAGATTCATGTCCACAATAGTACTCAATCACCTCCTTCCTATCCGGCACATCAACCTTCGTCTCTCCAAATATCACCTTCAGACTCCTTGGTAATTCGTACCGTCCCTTGTATCCCGTATTCATTGTTAAAAAAAACTTCGTCTTGTCCATGCTTCCAAGAATCAACTCAGTAACTCCGCTCATTATCTCTGCATTCAATCGGTTAAACTCATCAAAGCACACATACATCCCTGCAAGGCAAGCTCCTCTAATAACTCTCTCCAACGTCTTGAAGCTGCACTTTGCATTACAGCAGAACACAATCACAGGTACTCCTATTGTTCTACAATAATACTTCACCGACTCCGTCTTTCCTGTTCCGCTTCGCCCATACAAAATCAATCCTGACAATTTTCTCAACGTGACTTCAATCGTACACAGAATCCTGCACACCAGCGGTGTAAACACAATGTCTGTTGGCGGATAATACTCAAACCCATACTTCCTTCTACTAAGCGCCTCCACGCACACATCTCCTCCAAACAAAATCGGTTTTGGATACATTCTCAATGCTCCTGCATTATTCCTCATCTCCTTATCGAGTAGCATGGTCTTCGGCGTATACCTTCTCCCTTCCTTTCCTTCAAAGTACCTGAGATCATCAACTAATTCAGATACAATCGCAGGCCTCTTGATCTCTATGCTATCCATACAATCATTATACATGCATTCATCAAAATGCTTCCTCATCATCTTTTGGATTTCACTTCCAAACCTCATCACAAACTCATCTATGCTATTCTCAGTACTCACTCCATCAACTAGCTCAACTTCCTCTCCTCCACTCACAAACCCCGTTATCACTCCCATCTTCTCATTCACCATGTCCACATTAAACGTCTGTCTGAGTATCTCGCCATAATAAGACTTGTCATTCAATGCACGAATGAGATTCTCGTCAGAAACAAAGTACAGTCTTGGCGTATTCTGCCTGCATAAATCCAGAAACTCTTCCAATCCTTTCCTAAGCTCATCAATGTCTTCTTTCATATCTTCAAGTTCCCTTTGCAAGCAAATTAGGCTTTTGACTGCAACTCTGCATCGCATCCCTTCATCTGCATTATCTCCTTCCTTTCCTCTGACCGTCACTTGCATATTGCATCCTCCACTCTGTAGTCTGTAAAAAAACCTTTCTTTGGTTCTTTTGTATTGCTCTGCCTCAATCTCCAGCTCTTTGACTGCAAACACATTCACCAGCCCCAGAAGCCCTTCATACACCTGCCTAACATTGCAAACCGTCTCAATGCATCCATATAAGTCCTTCTTAATCCCATCAACATCGCCGTACAGAACCCCTCTTGTGTTGAACCTCATCACTGACTCATATTCCGCCAGCATCCCATAAAGCTTGCCTTCTACCTCATCGATCTGTGTTATTCTCGGCAATCCATACGCAGCTGAAATCTCCAAGTAAATATCTTCAAACTGCTGTAATGTGCTCTTCACATATCTTCCAACCTCACTCTCCATCCTGCACTCACGTATCTTCTCTTCAACTTCATTCTTGCTGAACTGCGCAATAAACTCTCCTAAGTGCATTGTGCTATAGCCATACTTCTTCATTCCGCCACTTCGAATATCATCAAAATACTGCAAAACATCTCTACATTTGCATATCTTCTCTATAAACACTTCATACCATCCACAGCACCTAGTTATATTTATGTTTGCATTTACTTCTCCACTACCCAACTCATTTCCAATCCTAGACATCACTGACTCTAAAAATGCATTAAATTCAGGCACATCAAGATCATCAATCACTTGGCATTCATATCTCTTAATAATACGCGAGTACCTATCAAAATCTCCTCGTCTGCTTTTGATCTCCTTCATCCACTCATCAGCATCGTTAGAAATCACTACTGCATTCATAATCCTAATAACCTTGTTCAGATCCGCAATCTCAGTCTTTAGTGCACAATTATTATTCTCAAGACACTCAAACATCCGATCAAACACATCCATGTCTCCTTCCATCACTAGCACTTTCAGCTCGCTACACGCCAAACTCACCTTCTTCTCCAACGCCAATCGCTTTTCCAGCACTGCATCAAGCGGAACATTGCTCAGAAACCGCCCAATTATCTCTTCGCTCTCGATAGCAGCTTTCATTCTTCTCCTCTCAACTTCCTCACCATCAATCTTCGGCCTTTCCAGCCCATATTCACACACAATCTTGTTCAATATCTCAATGCATTTGAACTCTTCAGAACAAATATACTCTTTCATATCCAATGCATTGCACACAGACTGCAGCAACACATCAATACTGTCCAAATCTTCTTCTCTGCCCCATCCATCATGTTCAAGCTTCTTACACACAATTGGATTCATTCCGTTCACATGCTTACTTACTTCATTGCATACCGTCTCAAACATCGCCAGGTGCATTGACACATCAACAGGCTCAAAAACAAAAAACGGAACCGTGTTATTCATCACCATGCTGACACATTTATGCATTTCTGCAATCATCTCAAACCGTGCTACAAGGCCAGAGGGTGGCTTCTCAATCACACACTTCTGCAATACAGCTGCACACCACTCATATCTCTCAACAACCTTCCCAATAATCTTTTCTATCAGTACACACGCTTCTTCTGCAGCGTCAACCTTCTCAAAAACCTTGCTGAAAAAATACTGCTCTCCATCCGGAAATATCCTTTCCAGAATATTGAAGTACTCACCAAGAATAGGACTTAATACATATCCATCAAACACAGGCAGATCTTCTTCAGAATCTCCGCAGCACTCCGCATTACCATTATTCCCAATCTTCACAAACTTGTGCCTTGATGCAAAAAATCGCAGGTCTGATCTATGCAGACACTCAACCACATACTCAAGATACTGAATAAACACACTCCCCATGCTTCTCTCTATGCTACGTACAACAATATCCCTCTCATAGAACTCAAAAAATCGCAGATATGCTGTAGGATCGATAGAAAACACACCGCCATAATCAAGATGCATCAAAAACACCCGTTTCATCTCACCTCTACGTATCTTCTTCACAAAAAACTTGTATGTGTATACCTTTTGCTCAAGAATCAGCAGATTGGCTTCAAACTCATCTAGATCTCCGCAGGCCACATGCTTCCATTGAATATTCATTATTCTGCTCAATGACTCAAACACCGCATCAATCTCACCGCAGAAAATGTCCATGTCATCTGCTATGTCTGCCAGTATGGCATGGAACACATCACATCCACTGCTCAGTCTTTCATACACCGGCCTGATCCTTGTTAATACTTGCATCGTCTCAATCGCTGATCCTGGTATAGACAATCCAAAAGCGCCGCTTCTGTCCATAGACATCAGCACCATGTATTCATCAGTCAGTCCTACAACATTCTTGCCAAGCTGCACTTCAAACCTCCATGTGCCTTCCATGCTGCTTACTACATCTAAAATGCTACGCTCAATTCCATACGACTCTGGATGCTTCATAAACCACCGTCTTATTTCATCTAAAATCGACATTTCCAGCAGTTTCTTTCGTTTTACATACTCAGATAGCTGTGCAATCCTTTCTTGTTCATCTCCAAAAAATGCTTTGAACACTGCCCATGCCTCTTCATACATCCCAAAAAGTCTAAACAGATATACAATCCTTTTCGAAAACTCTCCATGCACAGGCATCGCGCTAATCTCAAACAGAAACCGGAAATGGTTGATCACCTTCAGACGCTTCTCAAATGTCCTTTCAGAAAAAACATTGCAACGCACCAAAGGCTTGAAAACCATCATCACTCTGTACAGCCTTGAAAACCCCGCTGCATCCTCCATCATTGTGCTTATTGGTGTATCATCAGTCCTGCCACTTGTCCAAGGAACACAGGCATAAAATGTACGGGCATCGAAGCAAAGGTCTTCGTCACAAACAAAATTAAAAACATCCGACATAAGCCATTCATATTCTCGAAAGTCTACTCGTGTACACTTTCTGTTCTTAAGCACCTCCCGCCAAACATCCACAAATTCAATCCTGCTATGAGGCATTCCAAGCAAATGCACCATTCCATTCATTAACTTGTGGAACTCAGTTTCCATCCGCTTAAGCTCTGCATTTCTGTTAGCACGCAAATACTGCATATTTAATGCATCAGGCTCATCTTCGCGCAAATGCATTCCAAAAAACACCTTTCCAACACTTCTGAATGTCCAAAGGCATGTAAGCACATCTCTTGCTTCAATAAAATCCGTATGCATTTGCTGGAATGCACATATCCAGTTGCTGTCGCCATGCATGCATTCCAACGACTGCATCTCTGTAACATCATCGTCACCTTGTTCATTTAGCAACTTCACATTGTCTATGCATTTAAAAAACATTTCTTCACAGCACTCAATCATCTCAAATGACTCACATTCACACACTCTATCCGCTACCAGTGCCACCAACCCATTCATGTGTGTGAAAACAGATCTCCTGACAATCCGTGGCTGGCTCCGAATCGAACCTGCCATTTCTTTGAGCACACAGGCAAATGCATTCATGAACTCAATCAGACTCTTTTCTGAGTATATCCCGTCGAAATCCATCTTGCTGTAAAACTCGTTGAGCTTCTGCCCAGCATCCAAGTATCTGCTCGATGACGATAGGCTGTGCAGAGTTGTCAGAGTCACGAGCTTTTTGCTTTCTCTGAGCACATCACACATGAACACAAATATCTTACTTCGGAACACCTCAAATACATAGCACATCTGCATGTAAAAATCACGCCAAAACATCTTTTCCTCAACAAATGTTTGCTTCTTCCTTGTATTGACAGATTCATACAACCCCCTTACATCTGCAGCCCATGCCTTGCATACTTTACACACTGTATCTAGCTCGTCTTCTGAAAGTACAAGCTCCATTTCAATTCCACTGTCTGCAGTGCATGAGTACTTCTCATATATCTGCTCTATTTCTTGAATCCTTCTTACAGTGCCTGCCTCATACTTGCATTGTGGTACAGACTGCCTTGCAAACATATTTGATAGCTGTCTCAGCAATTCATGTACTTCCTTGTGCACAGCAAATGGCATTTCTGCCCTGAGAACGGATGATATTGCTGGTGCAACAAACCCTGACATTGCCTCACGCATAAACTCATGCCCACCTTTGAATATCAGCAATCCCTGGCTGCTTGCTTTGACGATGCATGAACTTTTACTAATTGGCTGTGATTTGTACGGAGCTATGCTGCCTTCGGCATCAAGCACCCACCAACTGCTGCCAAGGTTTCCAAATACATTCTCGGCATTGCAGATTGCATCGAGAAATGGATTGTTTGTGTGCATGGAGGGTGTATCGAGATGCAATGAATAGCAATAGGCACTACTGTCAACAAACAATCCCTGTGATGGATGTAGAAGCATTGAGGAGAAGTAGAGAGATCTATGTGGACGAAATGAACAAGGTCACCGACGAAATGAACGAGTTTATCAGGATAAACCTGCATGAAATAAGAGATTTATTGACTGTGTGTGCTGCTAAACCCGAGAGTGTAGGCATAGATGAGCTCAGAGCGTTTGTAGAGCATAGAATAAATGAATACATTCGGCTGATGGATGCAAGGAAAAAAGATGCTATTATGTGTTTGGCACATGGAAAGACCAGCAAGGACACAACTGATGCAATAATAACAGCCGATTATTGCTACAGAAGGTTAATGTATGGAGAAGAGCCGGCCAATCGGCGGGGCAATCGAAGAAATAGCAGAGAATATAATGCAGAAGAAGAAAGATTGGATGCTTTTGTAAACATAATAACAGGAATGATAACAATAAGATATGCGAACAGCCACGAATCAGTGGTTGATAGTGGATCAATCAGTTGCGATTACCATGCACTGCAAGACCTGTTTTCAAACGACTTCCGATTGAGCATAAGCAAGAAGCAAATGAATGTTGAGATGCTTAATATGAAAGTTGAGATGGGAATTGAAGCATTTAAAATTGCTGTTGAGTCTCCAGAGGATAGCCTGTGTAAGCTGGTGTCATACAAAGCCTGCAAAGAGCACGGTATTCCTATTCTTGTATCAAGTGATGACACAATTGATATGATCGATGATGAGCTTGGGCATTTGCACAGCAGAGTCCAGCAGCAGGTAAATGACGTGATTGTAATGCATATCACAGATGCATCGAAGGCATGCTTGATAAACTATCTCTTAGTCATACTAATAGGTATTTCAAGAAAAGTTGATCTGAGCTACTTCAACGACAAGAAGGAAATGTACATGCTGTGCTGGGTATACGAATGCTCAGAATAAATAAAGATGTTTAATTTGAATGCTACAATAATTGCTTCTCTATGCAAGCTTTAGCAACGAGCCATCTACACTCTTGGATCGTGTCTTCTGTGCCTTCTGCAGCTGTGCCTCATCATATGTGAAGACAAAGTCTTGCCCATGAATCTTTAGCATCTTATATGCACACAAGGTTCCTATTATGTCGTCCTCAGCAATGTATGTTTCCTTTGAGATCTGGCTGATGCTTGCTTCTTCGTGCCTCGAGAGATAATCAACAATCGCCTCCATCCAATATGCCCTGTAGCTCAGAAGCCCAAGGTCGCTCAGTGGCTTTTCAGGCCCTGCGATTATCTTTTCTCGCTTGCTGAGAAGATACGAAAAGTCCATTAGAACCCGTCCGTATCCCTTTCTTTGCTCAAATGGAAGCGTCAGTATGCATGCAAGGTTGTAGCCTTGCTCTGAAACTTTTTCCTTCGAAAAGTATCCCACTATCTGGTATCCGTTCTCTTCAAGCCTACACAGCACATAGAACATAAACACATCTATATCGTAGTACAGCGACTTGTGATCTAGAAACAGCTTTGACAACAGCGAAAGATTCCTGCAGTAGTTCTTCTGTATATGGCCATCGCATTCAAAAAAACTCAGGATCCCGTCTCTGTATATCTCTCGTCCCGGTGGATGCCTAATGTTGCACTTCCTTGCATGCTCTATAAGGCTTTCCATCGTTGCAAGGTAGTATAGACAAAACTCGCATATGTAAACAATGTCGCTTTCTGCTACTGCCCTTGGATATGGAGAAAAGTACCAGGCATCCACAAGATGGTTTCTCATCATGATTTTCTTGATGTTCTTTATTTTGAATTCCTCATCATGCGGTGGCTTTTCCAGAACAGGATCTGTGCCCTCGTGCTCCTTTCCGTCCTCAGAATGCTTGCGCTGCTTCTCTGCCTTTAATTTTTCTGCCTTCTTCTTGGGTACTTCCACCAGGGCCGGATCACTCAGATCAATCAGCGTCCCATCGATCCACTCGTCAAGCCTTCTATTGAGATCTACGTAGTGGACATAGAATTCAGGCATGGAGTGCTTTCCGGCCCTTTTGCCAAGAATCTCTGCCTTCAGCACCAAAAGCTTGTCTTCGACGTGCTTTCTTACAGGAACCTTGAATCCTATGCCGATGTCCTCGAGTTTCATTGTGTTCTTTATGCGGCTTGTGTGCAAAATTTTTAAACAGACGCAGCTTCCCTCCGGATGCGAGATTTGAAGCCACAGGAGAAGAACGACGTGCTTGAGAAGTTGAATTTTTTTATCGGAGACAACGTGGGCAGGATAATCGACAAGGATAACAAGATAGTCTTCCACCATCAGCGTGTGATGCTTGTTTCTGAAAATGTCTACGCAGCAACGTCTATGATTCCCAGGAAGTGTATTGCGATAGCTGGAACCGTGCTGGGCAAGTTTACGAAGACAGGCAGGTTCCGGCTGGGAGTAGCTGCGCTGCACATATTGTCACAGTATGCGATCCATAGAGTCTGGATCAAGAGCAGTGCAGAGATGTGCTATTTGTATGGGAACAACTCGTTGAAGTCGCATGTTTTTAGATTGTCCGAGGGCATTCCGCAGAATGCAGGAGTAGTAGTGTACAATCAGAATGATGTTCCGCTTGGGTTTGGAGTGACCTCGCTGAGTGCACAAGCATATTCTACAGCGAAGGGGCATGCGCTTGTTCTTCTACGACAGGTAGATGCGGGTATGTATATTCGTGATGAGGAGCATGCTCTATGAGATATATAAATTGGTATTGGTATTGATGTGTGTAGTGTTGTTGTGTGATATACTGTGGCGTTAAGTTAAGGCTTGGGCAGGAAGTAATTGAATTACGAAATGTCCCATTGTGCAGAGATGAGCAAGAAGGAAAAACTTTTGAGGAAGTATCTTGAGAAGAAGCAGAAGCAGAAAAGCAGAGACGAGCTGTATGAGGAAATATCGAAGTTTGTGAGGCCGCATGCAACTGATGACGCATGCAAAGCAAAGAAAAAAAGACGAGCAGAGGCCGTTGGTGCAGATAAGCTGAGTGTTGAATGCAGGGCATATGCTGAGGAAGATATCGGAAGTATTGATGTGAATGGTGAGATTGGCTATGCGGCAGCAAATATACTGTCGCAGTGTGATGCAATTAGCTATGCAAATGAAGAATATGTAAACAGTGGCGATAGCGTATGCAAGGAGTATGATGATGGATGCGATGAGTGTGGAAGTGAAGACGCTGTGGGCAGCATAGTGCCCAGATATTCTCTCCTTGTGGATGAATTAAATAGCAAACAAGACGACGGAGCATTGCATTCATGCGTAGACAGTTGTGGTGAAATAGATGTCGAAGAGGTGGAGAATAGAACTAAAAACTCAGTAAGTGTTTCAAATGAGGCAGCACATGCAATACCAAAAGAGTATGAAACAAGAGTGTTTGCACAAAGAAAGCCAGAGATTGAAGAGAGCAGAAAGAAGCTTCCGATATATTATGAGAAGGCAGAGGTTATTCATGCAGTTCGAGGATCTTCGATTGTGTTTGTACAGGGTGCAACTGGATGTGGAAAGACGACTCAGATTCCTCAGTTTCTTTATGAGGGAGGATTTGCAATTCGCGGTGTTATAGGAATTACACAACCTAGAAGGGTGTCTGCAACATCTATATGCAGCAGGATCAACGAGGAAATCAATGAGGAGTTGTGTGGATACAAGATAAGATATGAGTCTACTGTTACATCAGATACACGGATCAAGGTGATGACGGATGGAGTGCTGATAAAGGAGATGCAGGAGGACTTTATGCTGCAAAACTATTCTGTGATAATCATTGACGAAATACATGAAAGAAGCATCAATATTGACATGCTACTTGCGATTCTCCCCAGAGTTGTGAGGATGAGGAAGCAAATGGGGACTGAGCTGAAGCTTGTGCTGATGAGTGCCACGGGGGATGTTGATGAGTTCAAGAGAATTTTCGGAGAGATGACTGTCCTGAAGTGTCCTGAGCAGAGCTTCCAGTTAAGTGTTTTCTACGAAGAAAGGACTGATGAGGACTATCTGAGCATGGCGTATGAAAGAATAAAGAGGATTGTGCTGAGTGGAGATGCTTCAAGAAGACGCAAGAATGGAGTTGGAGCGAGCAGGGGTGATGTGATTGGATCTAATGTGCAGAATGACAGAGATGCAGCCATTCTTGTTTTCCTTACGTGTAAGCAAGAGATATACGACTTAAAGAACAGGCTCGAGTGTTCTGGAATGGACATAACCGTGCTTCCACTACACTCATCGCTCTCGAAGGAAGAGCAGAGCTTGGTGTTTGGAAAGACCGAGCATAGAAAGGTTATTCTAGCAACGAACATTGCAGAAACGAGCATTACGATTCCAGATGTTGTTTTTGTAGTGGACTCTGGAAAGGTGAAGAGCAAGGTGATGGACTCCGAGGGGTTTGCAAGGTACTCGATAGACTTCATAACAAAGTCTAGTGCTGCACAGAGGATGGGAAGAGCAGGGCGCACAGGGCCTGGAGTGTGCTATAGGCTGTATAGTGGGGAAGCATATGAGAAGTTCTATGAGTTTGGAGTGCCACAAATACTGAGGTCGCCTCTTGATGATGTAATGCTACTTATTCTATCGTTGGGGATCCGGAATGTGCATGAGTTCCCGTTTGTATCGAGGCCGAGTGCAAAGTCTATAGACGAGGCAATGATGCATCTGAAGAGCCTGGGCGCGGTGGATGGCTCATCAAGGCTCACAGAGATGGGAAAGGCGATGTCTGGATATCCTGTTGAGTCAAGACTGGCAAGACTGCTTTGTGTGCATGGATGCGAAGGCATACTTGTCGAGCTTGTGTGCATAGTGAGCCTGATTTCATCTGGAATTGATGTGCGGAGAACACGGGAGAGCCAGATGTATTTTGAAAGCAGTAGAAGTGATTTCATGGTGCAATTGGCGATTCTGAGAGACTTTCTGAGGAGCAATGCTAGAAAAGCATTCTGTTCGCGCCTTGGGCTGAACTACACATCAATGATGGAGGTGATGAAGATGAGCAAGCGGATACTGGCAATGAAAGGGCATTTGAGCAGCCTATGCATTGATATCTTGCCTGATAGATGCTCTAGGATTTGCAACATTATATATCGTGCATTTGCAGATCGCCTCGCAGTTCCATCGCTTGGCTCGTACTTCTTTCGTGGCGAGGAGGTTTTTATATCGAAGGATAGTGTTTTGGCAGAACCGAACTGCTATATTGTCTTTGAGAGTCTAGTATACAGCGGTGGCAGGTTGTATATGAGGAACATTACTATTTTGGATCACGAGTGGCTGTAGATGGATAATGGATGGTAATATACGCTGATGTAGGCATTTTGGATAAATTTTGAATAAACTGAGATATTATTTATTTTGTTTTCTGCTGTGCTTCTTGTTCAGTTTGGCTTTCTTTACTTTCTTTACTTCCTTGCTGTCTTTGAGTGCTTTCCTATCCGGCTTTTCAAACCTTTCAAATTTCACATGCTTGAGCTCAGCCATTCCAGGAACCTTCTCGAGGAAAAAAAGATCCACAAGGGAGTTGTAATCTAATCCTTTGTAGTCAAGAATATATGAAACAACATGTTCTTTGTACGATCGGATGTAAGATACAAACGCTTTCACACCAGCATCCAGCAACTCGGGTGTGATCCTCGCCTTTATGTCTTCATGCGTCACGGACGGATCAATCGCTCTACTGCATTCTGCCACACAAATGCCCTTCAGCTTCAGAAATTCAACATATGCTTTTTCGTTGGGCATGACAAACACAACGGACTCTCCTTTGCTTCCGTTTCTTGCAGTCCGGCCACTACGGTGGACTATGTTGTTGTAGTCCTTTGGGACGTCGAAGTGCACCACCAGCTCCACCTCTTTGAAGTCAATTCCTCTTGCAGCAACATCGGTGCAAAAAAGCATCCCCTCTCCTGCAACAAACTGCTCGTAAACCTTACTCCTTTCCTCCTGCGCCATTCTTCCATGGATCTTGCTTACATGCGCTACTCCAAACTCCACAAACAAACTCGAAAAAAAGTCCACCTGGCTGCATGTTGCAAAAAAAACAATGCATCGCCGCTTCGTAGCAATCTCCATCAGTGCCAGTATCTTGTCTGCAGGCCTTATTACAACATATTCAAGACACACAGGCATCATTCCACTCCCAACTTTGATCCTCACTGGATTTCTCAACAGAACAAGCGAAAGCTTATCCACAGACTCATTTATCGTTGCAGAAAATAGTCCTGCTATTCTACTCCGTGGAAGCATTTTCATTATCTGCATCAGCTTCTCCTCAAACCCATATCCAAGAAGCTTATCTGCCTCGTCCAAAATGATGTATCTCACTCTGGCAAACTGCTTTGGATACTTGCTTATGATCTCAAAAAGCCTTCCCGGCGTCCCCACTGCAATACGAATGCATTTCTGCATCTTTGCATAGTCATCTTCTATGCTAATCCCACCAATGAAGCACTCACAGCTGCACTTGAACATGTCTGCAACAGCCTTGATCTGCAGAGACAGCTCTCGTGTAGGCGCAATCACAACTGCCGTGACTTCTGCATTCCCAGTGAAATCCGCATACACATAATCAAGTATAGGCGTAAGAAACGCCATCGTCTTTCCCGTTCCTGTTGGTGCCTGCACTATCACATCCTTGCCCTTCAGCATCTCCGGAATACACGCCCTTTGCACTTCAGTCATCACATCAAACCCACATTCCTTGGCATCCTCCTTTAACTTGATATTCATGCTGAGATTGCCCATTCTTCCATCCATAACAAGGAACAGCCGTTATTCTAAATTTACCCATCCATGCATGCCACACTCATCAACATCAACACTCTAATATTTTAATTAAGTTACCATTATCACTTTACAAGTGTGCTGTACTTCTTCAGCACAGAGCGAGATATTATCCCATCGCCAAACAATAGGTATCCATACCTATTCACAACATTCCTTCGTACTCCCTTTGGATATTCGCTCAGCCCTTGCAGAACCAGACTCATCAGCATCTCTTGCATCTCTATCTCATACATATGCTCTTCAATCACCGGGAAAAACATCGATCCCTTAATAGTACTCCCATCCACATCCTCCTCTTCAACAACCTCCACCAAAAACATCGAAAACGCCTCAATCAAGTCCACCTCAGATGCATTCCACACTATCCTTAATAGCGTTATCTGTTTAACAACATCCTCAATGCCAATCTCCTCAACATCATCTCTATGCGCAACCTCCATCATATACGCCAGCACATCATCAAAAAAAGACGTCCTTTCCTTGCTGCAGTAGTCTTCCTCGCCCTCATCCTCCTCAAGATGGCTGCAGTGAAACGTCTGCCCTTCAGAATACATAATATGGTCCATAAAGTCATTCTCAATGCACACATCGTCCCATACAATGCATCTGTTCACATTCCCGCCAATAAAGCATCCATGCCCAACAACAGAGTCCCTGATAAAATGATTCATCGCAAACTTCAGATCGCATCCAACCACAGTGTTGGAAATCGGCTCATATAGCTCTATGTCAGGCTCACTCGGCTCATCAACAAAAAAATTACTCTGCACCTGCACAAAGCTCTGGAATCTGTCCGTTCCTCTCCATCTGAACTTCCGTAGATCAACTGCCTTGCCTTCTCGGACATCCTCATTGAACTTGAAGTAGTCATACAGCGTCACTATCTCTTTGCTATAAAACCCGCCATTCTTCCCAATGCTCATGCCTGAAATCTCCTCCTCCATCACATCAGTTTGTCCTTGAACACAGCACATTACCTTAAAGCTGTATGCATTAAACGCAAGAACTCCCTTCACCAAATCGCCCAAGGTTCCAAAGTCAAAATTCTCCGTAAACAACGGAAATATCTTAGAAGACACAACAGCAATCGTGGGTGACGATAGTCCTGCTGTAAACTCAATCGCTCCATTGTCTAGCACCGCATTCACCACCTTCCTCCCATCATACACATCATTTACGCATTTGCTGTAGAAAACAACCTCTTCTCCATTAAATCCATACAGGTGAGACACATTGCTGTTGCTCTCGCTCGGGTGCAGAAACAAAGTCATGATCACGTCCTTTCCCTTCCTGTGCCTCTCCAAAATGCTCCTCAAAGGATAGTTTGTGTAGTGGTTTGCATATATAACCAGCAGATCATCAAAGTCAAGCCCGTTCTCGTCAATGTGCCTCATCAAGTCTCCAAGTGACTTGCCGTCACAGTCAAGTGTCGCAATATTCATTTTCCCAGATACATCTATCTTTATTGCATGCGAAATCACCTCTTCACAACCGCTTCCGGCAAGAATCACATTGAAAAACTGCTGATCATACAGACTCGACAAAATGTACTCAAGTAGCGGCACATTCGCCACCGGAAAAAGCGACAGATTCTTCTTCAAATTCGTCATCTTAGTCGGAATGTGCCGTGTTTCATAGAAATCATATATCAGCAGCACTATCTCTCTATTCTCCCTGATATATTTCTTGATATTAATGGCCTCCATATCCTTAAGGGCTTGCTCAATGCTTTGTTTATTCCTTGCCCCTGCCCAATAGATTCATTTCTGCTCGTTCCTATTGGCTTGCAATTCTTCCCTCTGCATCCACTTCTTTGCCCTCGTGCTCGCTCTTACTCCATTCTTAATTCTCCTTCTCCCTCCTTGCGCCATCGGCTCTCTATTGCATTCCTGACCGCTTCTGCTCTGGCAACAACATCCTCAGGAACGCCAGCCATCCTTGCAACATTCAGTCCGTGCGAGTCCATGGATACCCCAGGCACAAGCTTATACAG